GTGTTACCTATATATATATATATATATATATATATATATATATATATATATATATATATATATATATATATATATATATATATATATATATATATATATATATATATATATATATATATATATATAATAATGTAGTAAAGAGCAACGAAATGAACTCTCTGCATTAAACTCATCCCCTTGGGGAGCAGTGGGCTGCCATTGTCCGGCACCCAGGGAACAGTGTGGGGTTAAGGGTCTTTGCTCAGGGACCCAGAGTAGCAGTCTGTGGGAGTGGGGCTCGAACTCAGAACCTCAGGATTCTAAGCTCTATGCCAGAACCACTAGGCCACCAAATTGAGCTAAATGCAGGAGATGCTTGTTGTAAACCTCTCAAAAAGCTGGAAAATAATTAAAACAGGTTTGAAGCTCACCTTCTAGAACAAATCCTAAACATGCAATGGAATTGTCTAGTTAAAAGCATATTTATTTGCTACAGTGTCCCAGTCAAAGTCCAGAACTCAATTTAATCGAAAACCTTTAAAAAGGCTTTAAAATTTCATGTTTCATCATGTCCCACCCCTCCATCTCCTGTACCTCATTTACTCACACTTCTTAACTCTCTGACATCTGCCGGGGGCATGCTGTCCCCAGCATGGTCACCATGGAGACAGTATGACGTTGACAGTGGATGCTGCCTCAGCCTTGAATGACTACTCTGGTGGAGACAGAGATGCCTTTTGACAGCCAGAGGTCTTCCAGCCTGCTGCTGCTGGGGTGTCCAACAAGGACTTCACATCCTCAGGCGAAAACCGCAACCCCACCCCCCTTCTGTTAGATCTTAATTAGTTGGTCATGTCCACACGTGCTGCTGTTGTTACACACAATCTAAGACAACATTTATCCGATTAGGTCAAATGACACGCCTACAGAAATATGGGGGTCGACGCCACTTCTGACATTGTGACTCATGGGCTTCCACCGCTAAATGTATTCGTAATCCTGAACGTCGCTCAGAACGAGGGTGTGGGAAAGAAAATGGAAAGAGACAATTTGATATGTGAAATGTTTGAAAACTGGTGTCTTTGTTCATAACAAGAACCTGCAGATCAAGCGTTTGAAGCACTATTTATGGTATTCTAAAATGTCAACCTTTGTCATTTCTTGGCTTAGAGAAAGGTCTGCATTTAGCCAAAACTCTTGTAGTAGTGTCTTTATGTCTGTAGAGGAGTAAACCTCTGTTATGTGAGGACAGAGGGATCATGCGTGAGGGTGTGCTTTCGCAAAGCCTTTGAGCATGAAGAGGCCCACTCTTCCCCCGATTTAGCTGCAGGAGAGGCGGGTAAATGGCGCCATCGCGTGGCTAAAGATTGTACTGAACTCTGGAGGAGTACAGTTGTTTTTACAGCACAAGTAAACCAATTCCAACTATATAAAAAAAATAGTGGGCATAGAGTTAAGAAGCTAGATTTACGGTTTGATTTAAGTCGAATCAAAACCAAGGAGAAAGGCATGCAAGTGTTGTTTTGCAATATGTTTAGATTTTATATTCAGTAGACAAAATTAAAAATTAAATGTTTATAGTGGCAATGTTAAGTTTACAACATTGGAAGAGTGGAACCATCGGCGTCGCCAGGCCCCATTTACTGGGGCACGTGCCCCAGTATAAATCTCATGAATATTTGCAACAGTGGTACATTTTTTTAATGCATCAATTTAGATAATTCCAACAGGAGGAGACGTATATTTCTACTCAAGTGCGCAGCAAGTGTGTTGTTAACTCCAAATTGAGGATGTATTAGCGCCCCCACGTCAGCGCATGTCACTGCATGAACTGCAGGTAAATTAACACGCTGCTCTCAACTGAGTTGGATGGGACACTGTGCGGCGCATTTTTTTTTTTTTTTGACGGGCAATAAACGTTGTTCTGGTAACGTTTCTTACCTGACATTTTTATTATTTTCCCAGTGAAACCACATGCTTTATAGGCTACTAACTAAAAATGACTGCATTGGTTTGTAGATTGATATCAGGAAATTCCTCACACGAAGCAGAGACAGGGAAGCAGTAAAACAAGATGAGAGAGAGGGAGGTAAGGTCCCGTGATGAATTAGTGATTTAAGCTAACTAGTTACATTAGGAACGTTATTAGCAATATGATAGATATTTACATAATTATAAATTTAAGTTTTTTAATGTTTGCTGTAGAGAATGAGAATGAAGGTGCTGGAGTAGGAAAGGGAGGAGGAGGCGAGACTGACAGGCAAGAGACAGGTGAGAGACAGGACCATGAAGGTGATGAGGGAGCAACAACCAGCGTCCACAAACAAGAAGGGGACATTAGTGACTTAGGGGGAAAGCATGATGGTCCTAAACAAGTGAAGTTGTCCCACTATCCCCAGGACAAATTTGGAGTAAAAAAACGTTCATTTAATTCAAAATGGTTTGAGCTTTTCCTGGTTAAAAAAGAAAGCCTTGTCATCAAGGATATGCAGTGTGTTTTCAACTTGCTTGATAACATCATATTCCCCACACTAACGCAGGTCATCCAGATCTCCCTCACAATCCCAGTCAACAGCTGTAGGTGTGAAAGGTCATTCAGTGTGTTGAGAAGGATCCACACTTGGCTGAGGTGCACAATGGGACAAGACAGGCTCCACCATCCTGCTATTTTATCAGTTGAAAAGGAAGAACTTTCTAAGCTGAGTCACAGTCTAGTGATTGACCACTTTGTAAAAGTGAAAAATGGTAGGTAGACTTTAATGCTCAATAAATAAGAGAAAAACTTAGTTCGGGTTGAGTTAAACTTTCCCCTGAACTAAAACTCGGAAACCTATGATGATGATTACTTCAGAATGTGTATATGGAAACTTTTTATTTTTAAAGTTGGTAATATCTTATTTTTTAAAGCTGCAATGTTGAAAATGTTCATGTTTGTTAAAACAAATATGCTCTTACACTCATTAATATCTCAACTGGTAATTTTGGTAGGAATATATCAGGGTGGGGCAGTGTGCTTGTCTGTATTTGTGTATGGAAGGAGGGGCATATGCGGTCGGGGGCCAGTGCCCCAGTAAAGCTTTGTGCCTAGCAACGCCCCTGAGTGGAACATTTCACTAAAGAGTTGACAAGATTTTGATAGGTATGAAAAACAGTAATAAAGTTTGAAAAAAGAAATTACGCTTTAAGTATTTCACGGTTTTGAAAAGATCCACCCTTCCTTGCTGACACCGGGGTCCTAAAATCAGGGGCAGAGCTAGAGTGGGGTGGGACAGGGGTGGGACAGTGGCAACAGTAATAAGGGCTAGTTATGCTTCCTGCAGCAGTGTGTCGCACTGAGCTTGATGCAGACATTTTTGATTTATGCTCTATTTTGGTGCGTGGTCTGCGTCTATATTCCACGGTACAATGCAAGAGAATCAGGAACTAGCTGTGGGTCTAGATATGGCCAGGGCAGCGAGGAAGTGGGGGCAAGTTTATCCGACAATGGAGGGACATGAGGGTGAAAAAAAAAGGGGATCAAGGTGGAAAATGAGTCCCAGAGTTCTCACGCACCTCACTCTTCTAACTGGCCAAACTTCACGAGTCGTTTTCCGCAATTGCGGTCATAAAAACAAAACCAGCCGTCCTCCTGTCTGCGGCACTGTCTGCGGTCACCTACAATTTGGGAGAGGAGCAGCAGAGTGTCTACGGAGTGGGCGGGGACATCTTTTTGTTCGCTGCGACACAAGTATTAATCAGCCTATACTCTCAAGTGATACTACAGTAATACTCTCAATACTTAAAACATTTAAATTTTTCATAGATTAACAATTATTTGACCACAAAAGCACTGTGGTTACGGTAATTATGCACATCCATATACTAACTTTAAAGATGATAAGTACAGAATTCCTGCTCTTTTCAGAACTAGATTTTGTGTTATATGGGGTAAAGAGAAAATACAATCCAGTCTTCAGTTAAATAATAGATAACAAAGATAGATAATAAATAACTATTCTAATAAAAGTTAGAAAATAAACAATTTTTGCACTGTAAAAAAAGTCAGCAAAATATACAGCAAAACACTGTAAAATAGCAACAGAAAAAGACCGTAAAACAAAAAGCGGTCCTTTACTTTATAAAATACACTAAATTACCGTAAATCAAGTGAATGGAAAAAACACTGAATATTACAGTAAATATATATAAAACTAACAGCCATTTACCGTGAAAATGAATCAATATATGACTAACTTTTAAAAGAAATTGGCGTACAGATAAAAATGTTCTGCAAGCTTAATTTTTACGACATTATTTGGATAAAATAGTACTTGTAAATATCAATTTTATGCAAAATGATTATTGATAAAAGTAGGTAAGTAATGACAATGTGAAAAAAATTTCGACCCAGAACTCAAACCTGAAAGAACTTTATCCACTATACCTTTTATCTAGATTGATTTTTAAATACTGTATATGTGTCTGTTTGTTAGCAAAGGCTGTAGGAAAATATAGTTTGTCTTTATTTGGAAAATATGGATGTTCTGGTTGTTCATTGTCCTGTTGGATCAGGATAGATTGACCCTACATTGCTTATTGCCTGGCCCCCCCTTATAAAAATGTTTTGGCTACGCCTCTGCCTAAAATACAGTCCATGTGGCATGCATAAGAGAGAAAAACTAACATCCATTATTAAATTTGTTACATCTTTCATATTTCCCTATGTGTTTCTTGATATCAACATAATTGGGATATAACTCTGTGTGCGTGTGTGATGATGTTATAGAAAAACCTGGGTTAAAGCTGCTTATCAAAAGGGAGAGAGAGAGAGAGAGAGAGAGAGAGAGAGAGAGAGAGAGAGAGAGAGAGAGAGAGAGAGTGGTGGGGCTGGGGGAGGTAGAGGAGTGGACAGACACTGTAACGGTGGGGGAGGCGTTTGGCTCGGAGGAGACGAGGAGCGAGCGGAGCGGATCTGGCCCTTTAAATCACCAATCCAGCGCATTCGGAGGTGAGTTTGGTGATATTCTGCTATTTTCCTCCCATCCTGTCTTATAATCACTCTGACGCCTTTGTGTCGCTCCTGTAAACCCCCCTCCTCCTGTTGGACTGTCGCTGCCGAGGTTCGGCTGCAGCAGGAGAGGGGGCTCCATCGGTGTCACGAATCCGGATTTCCCCCCAACCTTTTATTTATTTATTTTTTTGCCGGCAGAGAGGGTGGGGAGGACCGGGGACAGGGTCAGTGGAAGATTTCTCCCTGCTTGCAGAAGAACAAGCAGTAGCAGCTGGATCTTATGTGTCGAAGTAGGCCCACGGATTTGCGTAATAGCGGAACATATTTGGGGTGCGCTCCGGTCTGGTTGGACGGGTTACTAATGGTCTGCTGGAGCGTGTCACTACCCCACTGCCACGGCTGGTGATCGGATGGTGTGTGTGGGGAAGGGGGGGCGTCTTGCAGAGTTTAAAGCGATCTTGTTCGGGAGAATAATATTTGTAGTTTTATTTGTGCAAACGCGTTGGGTGCCTGTGCGTATGTGCGTGCGTATGCTTGGCATGTTGTGTTTGGTGCGTGGATCGCTACGGGATAGAGGACACGCTGTTCTAGCCATCAAAATGCCCGCATTGTGTTTTCATAGGGCAGAGCAGTGAGTAGGGCCTGTAAGCAGAGGACATGTAGGCCCGATCAGCGCCAGGCAGCTGCTCAGATCAATATGGATTGATGCGGGGGGGTTTGCGTCCTGAGAGCCTCTGTGCGCTCCGCTGGTTGGCTGCTCGGTGGGGCCTGTCCGGATCTGGCAGTCATGGTCTTTTTTGTTTGTTTGTTTTGTGTTTTGCTTGTTATATTTGGAAGCTGTGTTATGTTGCATGTTATTTCATTAATTTCAGTGGGGTCCCATACTTATTACAGGTCTCAGAATGTTTAAAGAATCAACAGGCTGGATACATAAAAAAAATATTTTATTCCACTTTTATTAATGTTGGTAAGTCTGTATTAAAAAAGAAAACGCTATTTTAAACAGAACTGTTTATGGAAACATATAAATATACAGACAGTCACCAATGCATTCATATACAAAAAATAAATCACAAAATGCCATAAAAATGTATGCACATAGGAAGAATTTTCTTATTCAAGTAACATTATGAAAATTAAATAAGGTGTTGCTAAGATAGTTATGGATTATTTTAATGAAATTACACTGTTTTATAAGGCACACATGTTAGCAGGAACTGCCCATTTAGGGATCTAGTTAATCTTAGACTTGACTTTTGGGGTAATTCCTTCAGGGAAATTCAAATTCCAGCAGCTTAACAGGAGACAAAATAAGCACACAGAGGGTAAAAAAAGGGCTAAATCACAAAATTCAGTACAGAATTAGAAAATCCTGTTAAAAAAAATCTAAACTATTATCAAAATAAACAGAAAGAGTACAATACATGTCAACAAACAGAATAAAACTAACAAAATATACAAGTGAAAGATATGGTGAAGTTATCTTTTTGAAGTTCAAATAGAGCACCAGAATGAGGATAGAAAAGGATTTATGACTGAATGTGTAATGGTTGCTTGTGCTGGATGAACCGTTTAGAGTATCAAGAAAACAACCAAGTTATGTAGAATATCATCTCTGAACTCGCATCACGTTGATCCTAGAAAAAGAAAGGCTACAGCAGCAGAAAAACACCTGGTTCATCACTTGTCAGCTAAGAACAGGAAACTGAAGAAGCCACAGTCGGTCAAGGCTGACAATATTTGCTGAATTAAAGAACTGAAGAGATCTTCATGAGTTTGATTTCAGCTCCAACTTTAAAAATATTGAAGAACTTTTTGCACAACAATATGAAGACAGTAATCCATCCCAACTCATCTGTGCAGCAATGGTGTTGGTTTAGCGATGTTTAGTGTGTCATAGTTTCTTCGCACACCTTGGTTCCCTAGAACCACCATAGGGTTGTTTAAACACCAGTTATCTTGAGTAATTTTCCTATCTCTCATCTCCTTCCCATTAAGATCAGAGATTTCCATCTTGTGATGCTTATCCCAGCATGTGGGTACTCTCATACTGGTGCTTTGAATATGACAATGAGTTTGCTCAATTTTAATAAACTCCACACAAGTTTTAGACATAATAAAGGAACTGTGTGATGCTGCTAACTTAATATGGTCCAACATCTGTTGAAAAGGACTGCTGCAGTTTGGTCAGTCAATGCTACAAAGAATTAAGGCATTTTAGAGAGAGTTTCAGCCTGATGCTAGCAAAGTTAAGTTGCCACAATTGTGCAACACTGTGTGGACATTAAGGACTAGCTGAAGAGAGAGTAAAACATTAATACAGATGTTGTCTCTGTAGTCAATAAAAGACAAATATGTGGGCGCAGCAAAACAGTTCTTTAGGACAAATATGAACATATTTTCTTTTTAAAGAACAGTGCATCTGTGATCTTAGTTATTTTAAAGATGTGCACTGCAAGGCTGAAAAAGAATGTTTTCATTCCTTAAAATGTTGATATTCTTAAAACAAAACTCTGATTCATTTGGGGGAGTTCTCTTAATTCTTTAACACATTTTTTCTCTGTAATGTTTAAAAACTCTAAATTTTAATGAATATTGTCAAACGGTACCTGTACATAATGAAATACCAGAACAGAATATCAGAATGTTGGGGGTGCCTCTCTATGCTGATGAAACTGTTCTTAATTTTCATGCAATTCAAACTTAAAAACAGTGTCATCAGCATAGAGAGGCGCCCCTAACAGTTAACCAGTTAATTGCTCACTCTGTCTTTCTGTAAAATATAATTGAAGTCATCACTGTCTGTAAAGAAACCAAGCCTAAGCTACTCTGAAATATTTTCGCTTTAATTTCTCAGAACTCTCGTTGGATGTTATTTAGCCTGGTTGTTCTGGTACTCTCCTTTCTGACCAAATAAAAAGTAATATTCCATCAACATATTTTTTCAGAAGCTGTTCAAAGTATGTAAATGTTCCACAAATCCAAAAATAACTTTCACATTGGAAATTCAAAGAACAAAGAGGAAACTGGTCTCTATTTTTTATTAATTCATGTTATGCTCTCCATCTTCTATGCTTGCACACTCACTCATATACACAGAAGCTCTAATTACAGACACGATTCACGGATCTACTCCACTGTTGTATTAATTAAAGAAGGACCCACCTCCTGAGAGCACTGGCGACAGACATAGCAGAACGCTGAGGCACAGGGTGGCAGCACTTTGATAGTGTTGTAGGCAGAGAGCGAGGTATGGGATGTCCTGACGTTAAGGAATTCCTCCTCTGGTACCCACTTTGAAACGTGAAATAACAAAACCAGAAAGTTTGTGAAGAGATAGTGGATTAAAGGGCAAAAGAAAATCTCGTTAAAAAGTGGCACGTTATCTACTGTTCAGTATGGTTAATTTACAGCTGTTGGTAAGAGGAAGTAATCTGAGGGAAGTTTTTTAGAGATTATCTTTCCAGTACACTTTTCACTATATTATGACTATTTCATTCAGGTTATGCTCCTTGAACTCTCATCTTTTAAAACCTTCCAACCACAATTATCAATGTTTTGTCTTGCTAGTTATATATTTGTGTCAGAGCAACACAAAGTAGTAGATAATGGTGAAGCTAAAGAAAAGTTATACTTATTTTTAGTTTTTGTTTTTTTTATAAAAAGGTGTATTCTCAGTCAGCCAATTTTCCCAGTAATTACAGCTGCAAGTTTTGGCCATGTATTTCTTGTTGACAGGGGCGGGGCTAAGCCACCCCTGTGGCCATCCCAACCAAGTGAATGGTTGTTCCCATGTGGGCGTAATTTACCACCTCTGGAACTAGCATTTCCATCTAAAACTGTTTTATGAGGGAGAAGACAAAGGTATGAGTCTGTGCATACATCTAGGAGTCATCTACGTGATTAAAGATAACAAACAATTGCTGAACCCAGTATAGACAACATAGATCTATAAATATCCCTGTAGACTCATTTGCAAGGGCTTCATGAAAATCTGTTCTGTGTTTAGGGATTTCGTTTGGAAAATAGAGATGTTTGCCTCGTTGTTTTTCATATTGTACAGGGTAATAAGTGTAGCTTGACCATGAGCTGGTATTGAAGCCTTTTGGTTTCATACGCTGGTTCCTGTCTGACTGGCCAGCCCTATGATTTTTTTTCTGGATCTGCCACTTCTTGCAGAAAAGCTCAAAATCAGTCAGATGCACAGAAAACATCTTTAAAAAAGTGTAATCAGTGACAGAATTGGTAAATATATGTATGTTTTGAGTTGCTGTAACACATGGCTACTGCAATACGGTCACAGTAGCTGTCCTGTCGGACGGTGAACTGGGCACACAGCTCCATGTTTTTGCTTCCTATCTGAGGCTTTGTTTTTAGCTCTGTTCATTTTCCTATTAACTATCACCACCTTCCTTTCTAAAGAAAAGCAAACTCCACACCATTTTTCTGTTGCTGGCATGGAAATAATGGAAATAAGCTTCTTGAGATTTCTATCACGCAGCCCATTGTTACTACAAATCAATTTACAATAGAGAAGAAATGCCCCAGTAGAGGTACCATTTTATTTAGACAGTATTCCGTAGTCTAAACACTATAGAACTTAGGGTTGTCACGATACTAAACTTTTCAACTCGATACCTATACTAAGGAAAATATTCGATACTCGATACCATTTTCGATACCACAAGGATAAAAACAAAGACCCCAAAATTCTACAGAAATATTTTCATTAATAAATAAAATACAATAAATAAACACAATAAAGGTTGTATGCTGTGCACAATATTAAGCAAGCTTGATAAAAAAAAATTATAAAATTAAGTGTTCCTTCCTTGGCTATGCTTTGCACACATAACAATGACACTAGCCAAACCGGTTAAGAAACAAAAATAATTCTCAGCAGCTGCACCTGTTACAAAAATAAGTCTGAAACTGAAAAGTGCACAGAATTATTCAATCACAGTGTTCAGAAAGTGCATTTCCTCTATTCTGCACTTTAGATGAATGACTGCTTAGGTGCCACTGGTGGTGGCACTGTATCGATACTTTTAAAAACGAGTATTGTATCCGGATACAACGTTTCAGTATCGATACTTTTTTGAGTTTCGATACTTTTGACAACCCTAATAGAACTACTGACTTTGGAAAGCTACTTGCTTGCACTAGATGGTTTTGCGTAGTGTCAGGTTAAAGGGCTGCATAAGCCGTGCCATTTTCCAACAATTTACAACTATGCACTCCTCTGTGTTCTCCCCCAATATAACAGTGAATTCTATAATATGACAACATGGAAAGCATTGATAGGTGTAAATATTTTTACAAAGTGCAAATAAAGGAATTATCATTGAATACAGTTGTAACATAAGCCCTGATCTTTGTGTAACTTTCCTTTTGTTAATACAGAGTGAAGCCAATGTAAATCCAGCTGCCGTCCAGGTCTGTCCTCGTTACCTGCAGACTGTTTTGCTGCCGCTGCTGCTTTACCTCAGGTTGCCTCTCCATCTTCACACATTAGTGTTCAGAGAGAGTCCTGTCTGCACACCATCAGTCAGGTAAGGCTCTGTATGTAGAGGCTAATGTGTTTTGATCCATGCTCTGGGAAGTACTGAGGCAGCAAAATAACATAGACACAATTTTTGTTGTGTACTCTTACATGAAAACAGGCAAATAAGGAGAAAGGCATTGCTATTTCAAATACATACTTTCTATGGTTCAATAGCTAACATAACGGTAGGCCTGTGTCCTTTTTTTCTTTAGTCGTGGGATTCCTCAATGTTTACTTTGTGTGTTGTATCAACAGGGTTTTCAGTAGTTATGTGTTGCATGACCCTGTTGTCACCTCTAAGTGGCACTATGGCCCCATAATATCATCTCCTCAAATGATTTACATGCAGTCCCAAAACATAGAAAGCATTCCATCAAATGTATCCTTCCTTCCTTCCTTCCTTCCTTCCTTCCTTCCTTCCTTCCTTCCTTCCTTCCTTCCTTCCTTCCTTCCTTCCTTCCTTCCTTCCTTCCTTCCTTCCTTCCTTCCTTCCTTCCTTCCTTCCTTCCTTCCTTCCTGATTTTTCTTCCTCTTGTCCTTTCTTTCTTTTTTGAACTTCTTTCTTTATTTACAGAATCAAAGCCTTTCTTCTGTGCCTTCTTCAGACCTTTATGTTCATTTTCCTCCTGTTGCTTTTTTCTTATCCCACCTTTATATTGCTTCCGTATTTCTTAAATATTTCCAATCTTCATTTCCATCTACCATCTTTCAATACATCAATTCTTCCCTCCTTGTACCCCACATCATTCCCTCCATTATCCACCCTAAAACCAACATTGTGTCTTAGATGGATAATAAGAGAGGTGCCATAACTCAAAAGTCAAAAACTTTACCTAAAAAAAGCAAGAGGACAATGTAAGGTGTTGGATGTCTTTGTTTGATGCTTATAAAACACTGATTAAAAAAAACAATGAGGTTTTTATGAGTTTAAAGCTAAGTAGATGAAGTAAAAGTATTCAAACAAAATTTAGTATTAAAAGAAATGTAAGCATCTTATAATTAACGTTTCCTTCCATTAGACACACATTCTGCAGGCAGTAAACCAGATCACTACTGTATATTAATCAAATATAGAGCCGAGCACATTATTTTTTTGTAACAGCATCATCATCAGCATGCTGATGGTGTCACATCGCTGGTCACACCTATCATCAGGTCAGCCAATGAGGTCCTATTAACCACAAACATAAGTTACATAATGTGGTCATACAAACTAACTTGATTTAAAGTAAATTCGTTTAGGACGAGAGTTTTCCTTTTAAAAGCATTTTTGCATCTCTTTGTCTTCTTGCAGTTTTCTCCTGTGTTGGTGTCTTCTGATGGATGAATATGTCCACTTCTAATAATATCGCCCAGGCCAGGAAACTGGTGGAGCAGCTGAGGATTGAGGCAGGGTTTGAACGCATTAAGGTAAACTAGTTGTTCATTCGCTTTCTTTGTTTGCATATTTCAACTCTCTGATTTCTGTTTTGAATGCATCTCTCTTCCAACTATGTCGTAATAATGCAGCTCGGTTGTTTTTTCCCCCCACTTATAATAAATATAAAAGAACAATAAAACAAACCTAGTTGTTCCACAAAATTATAAATTTGACTAAAATGTGTAAATAAATTATACAGGTACATGTTTTCTTTTCATTTTGATGCCGATAAGGCCAGTTTGTATCTCCAATTATAGGTTCCATTCAAGCTGTTCTTCTTTTCCAGTGCTGCATAATATCATTGATGGATTATAACTTTAATTAGACTAACCAATGTCAACTCTGATACGACGTTCAGAACACACTACTGAATCAGCAGAAGCAGCTGGTTTACATGCAAAGTCAATGGTTGACGTGCATCAAGGCACATCAAAAGGTCCTGCAGCGCATCTAGAGCAGCAGGAGCTGGAAAAATGTAACTTGTGCTGCTTGACGCACCACATCACCCAATCAGAGAAGCTGATCTGGGAGCTGGCTGGGAGACAGATACAGCACTGCTGATGCAAAATACTATGATCACTCCGCAGAAACAGTTTATTAATTCGTAAACTAACCTAAAATGTCAAAACCTGCCTGCAAAATTTGTTTGCTTTTATTATTCTAGTGCGCTGACATTCCGTTCCAGCCGCCGCGAACAGTAGCAGAAACCCCCCATGAGGCGACAGGGCCAGAGGCTGCTGTTGAAGGGGATTTTCAGTGACAGCGCACCGCCATTGTACTGGGGTTCAGAGCTGGTCTGACAGAGAAATAATATTTTAAGGCAGGATCGTAATCTTGATGAACTGACTGCATAGATGATTTTTTGAGGTTGACATTCTCACCTATAAACATATTAAAACAACTTTTTGCCAACGTATCACAGCAAATATAGCAAAGCCTCTCTCTGCCATTGAACACAGGAGCAGCAGAAGCATCGGACGTATCTGTACTCACTTTACTGGATGCGCTTCAGGACCATCAAAGATGCTTTTGAGGCCCGTCTGACCTTATTGTGTAAAAGTATCAACAATGAAGCAGCAGGTGCTTTTTTGCTGCTTCTATCACGTGCGCTCTGAACGTAGCACGAGGTTATTATTTATGGTCCATACATTTCAGTTTCCACCCTAACCAGCAGTCTGTATCATTTTGCTCCATATTTTAACCCCCTTGTGAAAAACTGAAATTATTCAAGTCTCCAAATAACATCTTAAAAGATGAAAACAAACAAATCAACACAGTCAATAAGGAAGTGACCATCTAACAATCTTAAAGTTTGATTGAATAAATTCTCCCTTCTTTCCTTAATGGTTTGTACTGCATCACTATATAATTTTCTTCACACTAAAATCATAGGATATCTTTCTTGCTCTCTTTTTATGAACACCTAATTCCTTTTTTCATCCTCCCAGGTGTCTAAAGCAGCAGCGGACCTGATGAGTTACTGTGAGCAACACGCTCGTAGCGACCCTCTGCTGGTTGGCGTGCCCACCTCTGAAAACCCTTTCAAGGACAAGAAACCTTGCATCATCCTATAGCTCCATAGCTGCTTTTTAGCTCTCAAAGACATACAGACAAACACGAATACATACACACATACATAAAACAGATGCACCTATTAACATAGGCTTACACATGAAAGTTAGCATTTACAATAAAAATCAGTCCCTACACTCTCTCAGATATCAAGAAACCCTATCTGACATTTTAGGGCTACAAATTCAATCACTATAAATTTAGCAACTTTGAAACAGTGCCACAACCCAGAACCACCAGTAGGGGGCAGGTATCTTGCCCCTTACAGTGTGATATCAGTTAGATACAGAGTATGGTCCAAGGTGCTTTGGTATTATCCCCATATGCTGGTAAATTAAGAACTGTTTATCATGAAAAGGGATTTTTGACCTTAACAGTCAGTAAAAAGCTGTTTCTTTTCCATCATTGGTCATGAAGCGAGGTGTTGGGTAAACGATGGGCAGCTGCTACACAGGCAGGCAGTGGGAAGAAGCATGTGGGAAACACAAATGAGTGGTAGGCGCAAAGCCAACCGTGCCAAACACGACACACTGTCGCATTGAAAAGCCCAATAAATGCTTATTTTTCTGCGGAAACTTAAAAAAAGAAAGAAAAAAAAGACAATCCGAGAGCTTTGTCTTTAGCTAGAGTCTTTGCTTTGGTCAGACCACAGCATGTTCCCCTCTTGAATCCGTATCAACAGACCTCTTCTCCGCCTGCAGCCTCTGTGTGGCTGCCTCCAGCCAATTTTGGCCAAGCCTCTAGCTGTGCCAACCTGTACAAAAACCTGTCTCTAGATGCTGATTTGCTGTCGCTGGTTCCACTGCTGGCTTGTGATAGCTGCTGTTGGTCAACATTGATGTCTTAGCGGACTTCAGATCTGCACCAACCAGAGGAACGCAGTGAACAGCTCTACAAAGAACTCAAGCTATTAACCATGGACGTTTACTACTTTTTTTTTTTTTTTTTTTATCAAGAAGTACTTGTTTGTGAACTCAGTGTTTGTTTAGGTATTTTGTTGAAGCATTCCTTAACGTTTAAGACGATACTGTACATTTTTTTTATTCTTTTACTTTGACGGATACAAGGCGGTACCCTTGGCTGACCAGATTTAAATCAGGGGTCTAACCGTATAGGATCTTAAAGTCTCTATTGTATATCAAACCTTCTTGTGCTCTAATTTAAGTTGGAGCAAGGCCACAGACTGACAACACTGGAGAATCAATCTGCACCTAAAGAAAAATAATTTTTACTTTTATATAGAAGATTTTCAGCTCTTATTGATTGTTTTGTTTTTTCCTTGAGCTTATTCATACATTTAGGGAATGATTTAACAAGATAGAGATGTATCTGAATAGAAAAATATTGCATCCGTAGCTTCAAATCCAGTCAAAACAGCAAAGGATTTTTATTTAATGCAATTTTGCGACAGACGGGATTAATTTCCCCCTTTCTGTGTCCTCTGCTCCTCCACAACACTGCTCCAATCTAAAAACCAAACATGATTGTAAAAACTGAAAATGAAAAAGAAAGAAAATGGCATTAAGAGAAACAAACTTAGTGTAAAAACTTTCTTTTAGACGTGCAGAAGTGATAAGTTGAAGAGTAGCTGTTTTGCAGTTTTATTTTTTATGTTACCTTCTTTCTATGGAGTCCATGAAAGCTGATCAGTTGAGTATTACTACCCTGTACAGTGTTTGTAAGATACAAAGATCTAAACACAGAATTTCCCCCATCTGTGGATGTTAAATTTTTTAACACTGCTTCTTTCCTTTTGTCAGTCAACATCATGTCTCTTTTTATTTTTCTTTCAGTTTTTAAAGGCTTGCGACTGTGGAGGTTGGTTTTAGCCATAGCTAAAAACAAAATAACAGAAGTCAAGGTTAGATCAAAGAAATCTAACACAATTATGGAGTGCTACAGATTGAGTCTTTAAAAAGGATCAATCAACATCAGACCTCATTTCAGTGGGAAACAACTAACCTCCTTAGCCTTCCTTTTCTCTTAAACAGGACATTTTTGGGGCAACAAGAAACACATATTTTATAGATATACAATTTCCTTTTCTGGTCCTTTTTATGCTGAGAGGGTTGATACTAAAAGCACGAATACAAAAAAGACTGAAGATTCATTTTTTCTAAACTACAAAAATAGGAAAGTTGATTTGCACAATATTATATTTTTTGAGAGTTGGGCTACAGATCATGATGCTCAGGTCAGTTACACTGTAACAGTAGATTGGCCTGTTGTGCTGCTGACGTTTGAAGACTGAGAGAGATTCCTCTATCCTATGGTTCCTCATGCATGTATTGTACTCATATCAATGATACACCTAGAAGTGTATAAAAGTGGGCTTTGCTTACAGAAGCCAGACTGTGTAGGAGATTTTAATCAGCAATGCTAAATTCTGATATTGAACACTAAAAATCACAACCTCAGGGTGACAGTGTATGAAGGATAGCGTGTGTGTTCATGTGAGGAGGGGTTCTCTTGGTGTTTTTTTTTCTCTTTTGCATTTCTAGGGAAAATGCTAAGACTATGAGCGCACAATGTCTCCAGTTCTGCTGAGTTTCATTTAGCATGATGGTGTTGCAAACCTGTGGTCCTTCAGTTCTAGGTCAGGGTTAGTCTGACAAGGGGAGAAGTCATGTGCTGTGGCAACTGTGTTATACTATAATCATAGCATTATATAGTATAATGTTTGTACTCTCAGTACTATCAGGTTTCAGGGTTTTCCAGTTGTAAATACTCTGAGACTTTCAAGTTCAATGTCTTAATATTTTACTGTTGCCGCTAGGGTTGCTGTCTGCTATATGAAATATTTTCTGCTATATCAAATGAAAAACAGCCTGTCAGAAGCAAAATACACTATAGGGCTGGACTAGCCTGTAATATATACAGTATCCTAATTTAGTTATATAAAAAGGCTTCAGGAAATTTAAACCATTACTGCCTAATTTAACCTGTTATGAAGGATGTGACAGCTAAAAAGAGACAATATCCCTAGCTAACTGCAAACAATGAAAGTGGGTGGGGCTAACTATTATTACTACAATTCAGACGGTTTTTATTGCGATAAACCAGAGGCGAAAAACTGACCTCAATTAGTGAACATGTTCAATTAGCATTTAAAAAACATTACCTGCCTGTATTGCTCACATCAGTTTGCACCACAACCAGAGCAAATCCTTCCGGTTTTCCTACGTAAACTGGTCTAAGAGTGAGCCTCTACTTTTAAGACGGAAAAAAAAATATGCAGAATTAACATCCACTTATTTATGAAAGTGTGCTAACTTTAGGATAAGTGGAGCACATGTGTAAAAAAAAGAAAACAAGTTTGCATTGCTAACAGCTTCAATTGATAAACTTAGGCTATTTTTTCCTTTTGAAAACTACATTTCAAAATTGAATATAAGTCAATAAAGTTTGATAGAACTATTAAAGAGCTGTGACATTGATAATTTTGCTTCTTTGGGTTTATGAAAGAGTAAGTCAAGGTTCTTTTGAACATGTTAATGAAATATCTCTTAAACCTGAGCATTGGCCCATCAGCTGGTTATCTTAGTTTGAATACAACTATAACAAAATCTCCCATTTTTGTTTTCTTAAATAAAATGCTTTATATTGCTCTCAACTTTTCTGCTCTAGAAATGTACGAGCTTTAGAAGGGCTAGTGGGATGATTTTTCTGTTACAGGTTTACCCTTTTGTTTTTGTTCTGAAATCTAACATGCCTAAACTAATTGTGACAAACGGATAACGGACATAGCTGTAGGAATAAATGTTTGGTTCTATATTTTTAAATATGCTAAATATGCTCATAAAACTTTTCAGTTATTGTTTCAAATCCTTAAATCAGTGTTAATGCTCAATTTAAATACTGTTTAATGAAAGGAAGATGGAGAAACTTGTGGCAAAAGATCAGCAATTACAGACGTGTGAAAAGAACTCATATTCTGGTTCGATTAATGAAACGACAAAAAACAATTTGTAACAATTTATTCATATTTCTTATATTTCATTTTGTAAACCGGTATTGAGGAGGGTTAAAGCTAGAGAAGTATACTCAAATGTAAAATGTGCATGCATATCATGTCAGCGCACACACTGTTGCCCTAAAAATGTCTGACCTTTTTGTTTTTATACACTTTTTCTCAGTCATTCCATCTCTTCCTGGGCTACAATCAAAGACAGTCAGGCTGAATTGCTGATTTTGCCGACAGTTTGTCTGATTGATTAGTTGTTACTTTGCCTTATAGTGGCGTATATTGTGTTATTGCTGGTCATGGATCAACAGAATAAACAGTCCTGAAGTGAAGCATATGGCTCACTGTGAATTCACTAAGTGAGCTCGACAAAATTCATTTTTGGTCCCACTGAGGAGAGTTTTAGGCTCTTCACTGGTCAACTGTCATATCAAACATCACTCAGTGGGCTCGGCGTGCCATCTGAGACTCATTTTTTTGCGTTCTGATCTCCAGTGTATGCATACAGTATATGTATCCTTTTGCCTTGATTATGAAAAAAATATATATATTTTTTGTAACTGTTCTCTAATGTGCCATAACTCATGTTTTCTTGCACACTGTTAATATTTTGTGGATATTGCTGTTAAAAAATATTGAGAAGTAGATAACATTAAAAAAGATATGATTACACAACCTGTTGCTTGACTCGTGTGTTAACAGCTGCTGATTACACATGCATCCAGCCCATCAAGTTTTATTTTTGTGTGTCTATGTGTCTAAGCAGAATAGTTTTTTTTTCTTTCCTGCAGACTGCATAAATTAATAAACCACTTGAAGACAAAAATCCACCAGATTAACAAGTACACTGTGTGCAGAGCAGAGATGAAATTTTAATGTGCAAAATTTAGCAAGGAAAAAGCTTCCACTAGATCTTTACATAGGCTTCTAGGTCTCATCTAAGCTTTTCAAATCTGTGGTTCAACAATGAAAGCTTCTTTTAAATTTTAAATCATGCTTCCTCCTGATCAGTCTGATTTGTGGGGAATGAGGTTTGGGGTGTGGGTGAATCACAGCCAATTGGAACTCAGCCCATCACCTGTTACGTGTCTCAGTAGCAGAGTGTAAACAAACGTCTGTTACATGTGCCTGGGTGTTCCCCTTCTGGCCGAGCGTTGGGCAGACATGTGAGGGTGAAGAAAAAGGCAGGGAGTAGAGCAGAGGGCATTTACTGTAGTGACAGTTTTCCGTGCTTCCATGCATGCAGCATTGAATTGCAGGAAGGTTAAAAATATGTAACAAAACAAGAATAATGAGAGAAAACTGAGGGTTTGACAGGAGGCTTTTACAATTTCCTGTAGGGACAGTAAGTCTGCATCAGCTGGCTTTGCCTGTTTCTTTCAACGTAGTTTCAGTCTCCACCCTGGTGTCATTCTGTCTGACTTACGTTCACACAAAAGAAAAGGTTGTCAACAAAGACTTTGACCCAACTGTGCGTGCATTTTTTCCATTACTTCAATGCCAGTGTAAACACAACTCAGCCAGTTCCATGATGCACACTTGACTTTCCTTTTGAAATCTGAGTAGAAGTACTCTTGATGATTCCAATAATTTATTGACTTATTGCACAAAAATACACCCGAACAAATTATACAAATAATAAATTAACAAAACATTTCATCTTTTTAGAAAATAGGCACATTAGAAAAGGCACATCATGTTACAGTCTTTATCAGAAATACAGATTATCTGTATCCTCCTGAGATTTGAATTCAGACCCAAAGCATCAGGTCTGGAGACCTTGTTTTTTTTTTCAGTTTGTTGGTTCTGTAAAGCCGGCCAAATCCTCTGTCTTCTTTCAGTACAGTTTCAGTTTCCATAGCGATCACTCTTCCACAGGTTCAGCTGCTCAGCAAAAAACGCACACCCAGCCTTTTCTAAAGACATTGTGTATGCATACCACACTTTCATACTCAACCCTTCTATCTGGAGACTCTCCCTACTCTGAACACTCAGGAATGTTGGCTATACAGTAGCTTTCACTATTACAACATGTCAGTCCAGATAGTAAACATACAAATCTTCCAGGTATGTACTGGGTGTGGAAAAGTTACAGTCAATAAACTAGTCCTTGAGCACTGAGACTGTCCAAACAGAAGCCCAAATAGGTAAATAAGAGAGTTTCTGTTTAGAGATGATAATTTAATCCACTCCTCTGTTTTTATATCTTCTGCAGAAATGTCCAACTGTTTTAGAGCGACCCGGAGAACCTTTTAGGTCCCTGCTACTATCAGTTTTCTCACTGAGAGCAAGTCCACTCAAGCCTATTGCTTTACAAGCATCAATATCCTTTGTTCCTTTTAGGAGTTTAATCCAGAAACTCCAGGTTTCCTCAGGAAAGACCCTTCAACGTTCCTGCAGAACCAGCTCAGGAACCCACTGGTCGAGGCGTCGGCTCTCTTGGCAGTACATCCCAACTTCTTGCAGTCTGTAGTGATCTACTTGAAGATTCTGCATGAAAAGAACAAAAAAGATTTTCAAACATGGTCATATATTAAAGACAGATCTGGTCTGCAGACAGTAAGAAATATTCACAGAGGAGAAAAACACAGTGAAAAGATAGTGAATTTTTGTCGAAAGCACATGCTGGCATTAGATTCTCGTGGGAGGTAGGTTGTGTAGAATATACCAATTAAACTGCCCAACAATATTTAAAATGAATTGATCAAACTGAATGGATGTAAAACAAAACAGTATCAAATCAAAAAAGGGAACATTCCTTCAACTGTAAAAGTCAATTGGGGGGCTTCATGCTAATTCTTCACCATATGTTCTTTTAAATTGAATTGAATTATAAAGGTGGAGTAATTTTAAAATGCAGGGCAAACTTTGAGAACCTTGTACAGCCCATAATTTGTTGTAATAAACCCACCGTGACCAGCATGCAGTGCAGGTCTCCGCTCTCCTCTTGGTTTTGGTTCGCATCCACGCCTCCCAGAAGCTGCCACAGTCTTTGAACCCCAGAGACCCGCAGGATATTGATGCCACTGTCACAGCAAAAAGACTGCAGCAACGTGAAGTGGATCTGCAGTGCCACGTCCTCTTCATCATCAGCTGCTAGGACGCACAGGACCACACTGTCTGGATCTCTAGAACAACAAAGAGAAATTTTAGGGGGGAAAGACACAAAAACAACACTTGCATGTTTGAAGCTTTGTCACCCTCTGGAACGTGAGAGGAGCAGATCCATCTGATAAGCCATAATTAATGGTTTCTACTCACGCATTGAGCAGCTTTGCTGATTCATAGATGCCAATGGTGAGGCAGTGCTGTTTCTGGGCAGTTAAAAGCAACTCCTCCAGTGCCAAGCTTGCAGACTGCATCCTGAAGATTAAGAGAGAGAACCAGTCTTTTACACACAGAAGGAAACCAAATAAAAAATGTAGCCATTAAAATGCTTAGAGAAAACTTATGAAAAAGTTAAATTAAAGCACTGAGAGGACATAAACGGATAGTACAATTACAACATATGATTCATTTTATCGTGCATGCTGTGCAGTAAAACATTTGTGCAGCATGCATGAGTATAATGTCTGCAATAATAAAGTGAAATATATGTACTTCATTGCAGCACTCATGCTTATGCTTTCATTTTCACAGAATCTGCAGCTCTGTCTTGCAGCAGAGTCTCAGGTAACTACAGGGTCAAAGGACGTAAGACATTCCTGTCCAGAACAGGACGTCCCTGCAGAAGGCACAGACAAAACCAAGTATCTGACCTGTTCTCGAAGGAGGCGACACTTTCCTCAGGAACCATATTTGCAGATCAGAAATATAATCCCAGCTTCTTCAAAGCGTGACAACAGTCTGGTGGTTTTAAGTCCCAAGAGTTGTTAGATCTCTCCAGACGCGTTTGCGACGCAGCGTTTGTGGTTGGCAAGGTTGGAAAAGCATCTTATAGGAGGGATCAGAGGAGGGCGGCACCGAAACTACTCCACTTCTGCTATTGGCTCAGTTGAAAACCCACGTCTTTGTTCTGTCATGCGGACTGCTGTTTTATTTTTTGCTGTTTAAGTGACTTATTGATTATGGAAAATAAAAATCAGTTTGCTGTGTCACTCTGACAGGGTCCGGATTTGGTACAGCGCACAAATGCATGTGATCACAACCCGAGGTAATAATAAGTAGAAACAATCCATATTTCTTTTTTTTATGTCCAGCTGAACACTTTAAAATCTTCTAATAACTTTAATATCTTCTATAACAGAATTTCTTATGGAAGTGTGGCTGACACCTGCTGGTTGACCAAGAGAAACTCCCAATCCATTTCTAAGCAGCAGCAGTTTTCTTTTATATAAAATATTTCAGTAAGATTTTTTTTTTTTATTTGCTCAAATTGTTATTGTTAGTTTCGAATCATTCTAAACAGTTCACTTTTAACCACGTAAAAATTCATTAGATAGATTGATTTCCGTAAGGTTAAAATTAAAGAATCATTAACTTTATTATAGCTGATAAGAATATTACTTGGTAGTCAATCATAAAAGAGGGCATATGTGTGATTTGATAATAATAACCAAAGAAAAAACAATCATCTCCTTTTTTAAAATAGCACAATGTAGGAAAGACATAGCATCATTAATCCAAACATTTTTGCCAAAAGAATTAATCATTGTACTTCAACAGTTTTATTTGAAAAGCAAAAGAAGTAAAAAAAAAACAAAAAACAAATCAAACTTATTTTTTTTAAATAAGTTCAGTTAAATCTTAATGCAACTGACATTTTAAAGACAGAAAATCCAAAGCTCTGTAATATTCTTGCAGGTTGATGAACAATTAATAAGCATTTAATTAAAGGGATGGTTAGAGCATTCCCTGATACTTGAAATAAATGTAATGCAAAACTTTGTGTTTAAGAAAAAATCTAATAGAAATCAACCAGGTGTGCTAGTATGGTTTGGGGGTTGGGATGTTCTCGAAGGACAGCTTTAAAGAAACCTGATGGATTATTTCATTATGATACAGTATTATGCAAGTGTTTCATAATGCTTCTGTATGTCTTATCACGTTGCTGCAATGGAAGACATTTTGTCTTTAGTAAATTTAAATAGAGAATTTAAGTTTGATTAGTATATTTCTTTTTATATTACACAAATTATTAGACCAAAAAAGTGTGAACATATTAATTTTATATAATCTAATCATACTAAAAAACTCAGATCACAATACAAACTGATTAAAGTATTCAAAGTCAGCCAAGTTAGATTGCCTTTGCAGCAATACCCTTTATCGTGTCCAGGAGAAACCTCCAGCGTCAATAAGAGCATGAGTGATCCTAACATTTGCACAATACTGTAACTCTTAGAAATACCAATACTTTTTATACAACTTTAGGATCATCACGTTCTGTCAAAAATTGGCGAGGATGATCACTGGATCTGTAGAGCTCTGGCCTGCTGTTTTCAGGCCGATCTTCTACGATCTGGTTTTCAAAATAGCTGTCTGCATAGTTAAGCATTTGCTCCAAGGCCATAAACAGCAGTATGTCGGTGTTCTGATCCAGTTCCAGCTCTTCGCTGTAGTTTTTCACTGGCATAACATAGGACAAGGGGATACCCAAGGACTCACTTAACTGCCGGGCCTGAAAAGTTGAGACAACATTTATAGATTTAATTGAAATTGCAAGAAGCTTCATTGTAGTCGTGAATTTCTGTTCAAGGTGTCAACCTTCTTCTGGATGTAAACGCTGTGATACACATTGCTTATGTCTTTTGCCACAAGCGGACAGGCTTCATCCACTTTGGTCATCAACAAAACCTGGGGGATGCCTTTCAGAAAACAAAATCAAGAGATTGTAATCAGTACATGTATTCAACCTATGTGTAAGTTAAACTTTAAAAAAAGTTCATTTTCAATATCTTCTCCAGTCATATCTTTACTTTACATGTCTGCACTTCACAGACAGACGTGTTGTCATTCACATGGCATCTAATTAAAATAAACTGACATTTGCAGTTCTAACATGAAAATGTGTGCCAAGGTTCAAAAGGTATGAGTACACCTGGTGGCACAGTGGTTAGCATGCGCGACCCATGTACGGAGGCCTTAGTCCTCGACTCTGACGACCCAGGTTGGAATTCGACCTGTGGTCATTTGCCACCTGTCTCTCACCCTCTCTCATAACCCATTTCCTGTCAGCCTACTGTCCAAAAAACAAGCAACTAGTGCTGTAAAACATCAAAAAAATGATATAATGCAATACCATGATCACTGCCCTGATAGCTGACCTAATTGCTCATTTCTCTCACCTGCCTAACTCTGCCTGATTACTAATTGTCCTTCATCTTTTCCACCTGTTCCTGCTGCTTTATAGACCGCTCAGCCCAGCTATAGGGGTCAGATCATTGTTTGTTAGTTTGAGTTGGAGATAATGGCTGATTTCCATAGTTCATGCTCTCATTCTCGGAGGCCAGTGGTGTAAGAGGGTCTTTAATGTTGTCTTAGTGTTTCCTGATCATGTCCTGTCTCTTATCCACTGATCCTGCCCTGATCCTGTTTTGGCTCAGTGGATGGAGCTACGGAAGTTTAAAATTCCATAGTTTTCTTGAACTCATGTCTTGTTCTGCCTCTCAACTACTGAGCCTATCTCTTGGAACCCTGAATCTGCCAGAACTCTCTGTGGATTCCTGGAACCCTGGATCTACCTGTTCCTGTTCTGATCAGAACCCCTGATGGGCTACGGACTCCTGGATCTCAGAGCCATCTTGTTCTGAACGGTTTCCCTGACCTTGCTCAGAAGCCTGTTCACTGGGTTTGCAGCATCTGGCTCCCTTTGGGCAGCTCCCGCCACATCTCGTTTGGCAGCCCATCGTCTGGAAAATGTCTCACTCCGAGAAGTTGTACTGAACTGTTAAACCAGTTAAGTGACCCTCATGGATAATCCTCTTCTGTCAGATTACAATGGTCACTTACCTGTGTTTCTCCCAAACCAGAGTGCCAATGATCCAAAGATCCACAGCTCCATGCGTCTGTTTGTCTTTAATAAATGCTTTGAACTTTCCCACTGTCTTTCTCACCTCAAATTATGAGTCCTACATTCTGAGCTTATGACACACAGTTATCTTTTGTATCCATAGAAAATTCCCACATACCAAGCTGGTTGGCTTTTTTCCGGATAGCAGAGAACTTGTCCACCATTTTCTGGCTGAGAAGAGCCACCTTGCAGCTATCGATCACATAGGCCACACAATGAATCCTGTCACTCAGATTCACGTGTTTCTTGTAGCCTGGAGAATCCTCTAGGATTGATGAACTGGTACTAAACTATAGTGAACAAACAAATAAATAACTTAAATTATTGCAGTAAATTATAAGAGTCAAGCGTATTGTCACACCAAAGCACGCATGTATTTAAAGACCTGGTAGCGATCCATCATGTGTCCCTTGAAGATGCTGACTACATCATCAATGTTCAAACCAGACTCAGGGTTTTCCTCCAGGCCCATTGTGTCACAGAGGACCAGTGGAAGATTTCCTCCACGTCTTCCTGCCTTAATAGTGTAGGCACGATACTACAAAGGGAAGAAGAGTACAATAATAGGTTGCATGATGGATATTGGAATCCGGATAAAAATAAATGATTTATCAACCATCTTTGTTAAGTTGCAAGTGGTGCAACGCATTTATATTTAACTGATAATGCTGCACATTTCTTTTTTTTTTTTTTGAAGCTCAGAGGACAATCTAATAGTGAGCATCTAGTACCTGCGTGGTCACACTAGTTCCTGCTGTACCAGTGATGGCTTGGCACGTCATGTTGCCTCGAAATGCCGAGTTGATGGAGTTGAAAAAGCTTGATTTGCCGGCCCCAACAGGGCCCACCAGCAACACACGGGCTTGATTCACCGTTTGGATTTCAGGCTGATAGTTCTGGATGCTTTTCATCAGTTGTTGCTTTTTCCTACACATCATAAAAATATATCTTATCGGGGATTTAAAAAAGCTACTCCTGACTTCACTGGCAGCTACTGGCTACCACTCAGTGAAACAGTGTAAAAACTAAAACAACTTTTGGAGTACTCCAAAGTTATTTTCTCTTCCCTGTGACAATTGATCTGTTTTTAACTCAGCTGCTATTGTGTTTTTCTCTTTACTCAAGGACCTCAGAACATTGGAAAACCACAGAATGGGATCTGTATGTAAAAAGTGGTCTTGGAACCGCACATACTCAGCTGTCCACTGGATATTTCTCCAAGGCTTCTCCAGGACATCTAGACCTATAGTTGCGGAAAATAAACATATTAAACCACTGATTTGACTCCATGTATAATGCCAAGATAGCTTGACCTTTATTGTATACAAACACTATTATTTCTACTCACACACTTAATAATAGATATAAGTTAATAACAATGTGTTGTATTATTAGAGACACTTGTTTTTTAAATGGTTATGGTTCTTTCACAGACCTTCAACTCGATACACCTCAAACTCTGTCAGCTTTAAGTCAGTCCCATGCATCTCTTCTGGTTTGAAGTTGAAGCAACTTCCTGGATTGGACTGCACGGCCGACTTGTCCTCATGCAAGAAAACCAAGGCACCATAATTTGGACCAGAGCCTTCATCTGTGAAAGCATGCTGCCCACTGATACCCCCAACTCTCAGGGGTTCTTTTCTCCCATCATTGATGCTGTAAAGGGAAGCCTCTCCATCAATGACAGCAGCGCCGCTCTGGGTGTAGTCCTTGGATGTGTATGCCCCAAAGACAAACCCTGCAGCGTTGTAGGCCACAATGACAGTTGGACCCTGTCTGTCACAGTGGCCATGGAAGGCAGCAGCAGTGAAACCGTGAATGGTGGCTTTGTAAAGAAGGTGGAGTCGGACATGACCGAAGAGAGACATGAGCTGTTTCTCCTGGTGATTGGACAGGCTGGATATGACTGGAGGCATGATAGAGGATGGGCTGGACAAAGACACATAATAAAAATAGACTTTCAATCATTTGTTCTCACTTGCAGCTTATCGGGTGATTTTAGATGTGATTTACAATTCTACATCCATTAAAGTTGCCAGATAAAAACAAATATATATGTCTTGATGAATTATTCATACTTCTCTGAACTTTTTCACATTTTGCTAAGTTGCAAACAAATTTCAGGGGGAAAAAAATGTTAACCTATCAAAATCTGAAATGTGTGGTATGCATTTGTATTCAGCTGAAATTGGACAGTGTTCAGCTACAGTTGCTGTAGTTGCATCTATTATGTTTATCTCTACCATAAGACTGATGGGTTTACCTATTGATTTTTGTTCTAGATTAGTTAGAATAGGAAAAGTGAGCCTCTGTCTGTCTGTCTGTCTGTCTTTCTGTCTCTCTGTCCTTGAATATATGACTGCACTTATACACTTATATATCTGTTTGTGAGCCAATGTATTTAAAATTTAAAAATCAACTACAGAGCTTTCAAAGTTCCCTTGGATGAAGCAGTAGATGTTGTTTTTACTTTCAGTTTGACTTACTGAATAATGACATCATGTAGCCAAGAACTTCAAAATGTTCCCACTGTGCTATAGTTTTGTTGGACGGTGATTAAACAGCCATAATTCCTATATAAACATGAAGATCTAAAAGTAATCTGTATAATATATAAGAGTCAAATATTTTATATGAATATAGAAGAGAAAAAGCACTGGCTCCTTGCATAATTGGAAACACCCAAAAAGTCTTAACATTTTCTTTACCAAAACCATGGTACAGTTTTTCTATAAGAAAATTGTATTTTCAAGAATGATTTGGATAAACACTTACCTGTGGGTGATCTGGTGGTAAAAATCTCTGATCTGTTGGCAGTTTGAGGTGTGTCTCAATCCAAGTGCAAAATATAATTTTTCCACTTTCACTTTTTATATGACAAGACTTGCCATATATGGGCTAAGACAAGCACAGTTTTATGTGAGTCTCTCAAACAAAACTTTAGCCTTCGATATTAAACCAACTTAAGCTATTTTAAAAAATCAAATAGTTTCCTGAATTCCTCTTGTTAAGATAATTCTAATCATAGCATTTTATTGTGCAAAATATGCATTCACCATGGAGCTAGAGTCTCAAAACCATGTGTAATATATTTCCTTAATTTAGACATTTGTAGCATTCAAATCCCAAAGGTAATTTATATTTTGCTGTAACTCATGTCAAGGTTTTGTTTTGTGTTTTTTTTTTTTTTTTTTTTTAAACAACTTGTAGATGCTGATGACTGCTGGCAGGAAAGTTATCTTGAAATGGTCTACCTTATGGCAGGTGTCAAGAAGCCACTGGCTAAAACCGCGGTGGAGCTTTTTTAAGTCAATAAATGATGCAGCAACCCTAATAAATGATGATAGAAGAGGTCAGGCCTGTAGAAGAGATGGAGCGTTTTGCTGTATGCACCAAAGGGCATAAGCTTCCCTTAAAGGTGAAATCTACTGTTTCCATTCCGTTTTTTGTACAGGTGAACACAGAGGTATTTATACTTCTCCAGCTAAAGTTCATGTCAGGTGATGGTAATAGTGTTTGGCCTATTCCCATCTCTCCTGCCATCTCCCTTGTTTTATTCACATCTCAAATTGGATTATTGGATTCACACCTCAGAGAGTTTATTTCCCAAAAGTAGATCCATATGAGTATTTCTGCAAATGACAATAGTCTATTTTGTACTGGCAGTCTCAGGTTGGACCTTCATAATGTGGGATGTCAGGGCAACAGGCCTAGAGTCAAGGACTGTCTGCTTAGTTTCCTCTGGTACTGGAATAAAGCAGGAGGTGTTTCACATCCCTGGAACAATCTTCTAGGTCAGTTTAAGGTTAAAGGGGCTGGAGGATCCTACAAAGCTGCTCTGCAAAGGGTTTCCGGAATCTGGGGCTCACACCATCTGGACCTGGGGACTTATTCTAATTCAGTCTTTCCAGTTGCCTCTTTACCTGGCCTCTGTAGACACACAGGTGGAAGGGGTAGGCAAAGAAAACAGATTTTGCTAAAAACAGTAACAGAGAGGGGAATGCATGCATAACGGAAGTGAAAGTTCAAATATTTGAGGTATGATAGGGAAGCTTTGGGTCAAAGGGTGGGGTTTCTGATTGTGGGCAGGAGAGAAGGATACAGACATTGTTCCTAAACTGAATCTGTAGAAGAATGTTTTTAATTCATTAGCTCCATCCAGACCTACATCTGTTTGATCATCCTGCTTGAACCCTCTGATCTTCGTCCCCGACCATACAACTATGATATTGATCAGCTGGAGCTTCTTTTTAATGTCTTCTTGTTTCTTATCTTGACTTTGCACCAGCAGACATCTATCCAGACTGCCATCTGTATGAAATAAGATAATCTTCATTTTCATGTTATTTTTCCCACCTATTGTTTCTTGCTTTCATCACTCTCTGCTCTTTCTTTGCTTCAATAAAGGAAAAGTTCGGTCAGCAAGGAATAATCAATGGATCATTATTTATACCTAAAAGCTAATATATTCGTGGTGACTTAATGAATTTAGCGTCAATTAGTAAAAAAATTTAATAATTTTCGTCGCAACCACTGAGCCATTGTTTTTGACCGACCATTTTTGCCCAAATATTGTAACACCTCACTCCAACTTGTTGTTGGATTGCCCACTGGAAGAGGGAGGATTTGCCATCTAACTTCTGGCCAGAGACAAAAACACGTAATATTTAGCCAACATTTCGAAGAAGAATGTTTTCAAGATGACTTGGATAATAGCGCATTGTGAAAAACACCAGATACATTATTGGGACTTGTTCACCAGCCGATATCGAACCATGCAGTCTCAAACTTGTAGGTGACAGTAGTGTTCTTTGACAAACATGGATGTGTCCAGTAAAGTACATTCAAACGAAAATTACTCTTAATTAATTAACACTTATCATTTATTGGACAGTATGTAATAGTTTCATATTTAAAGTACTTTTAGAAGTTTTAATTCGGAATATGACCGGATCGGACCATTCCTTTAACAACCGCTGACCATCCTTGCACAAAAGTTTGCATTTAATGATTCTCAAGACAGGTTTTGGTTGCACATGTCTTTTTTTATTCTTGCATTCCTACTTATGTTACAACCCATTTACTTTGACATTGTTTTTTGGTTACGATCACAAAGTTCTTTAAAATTCATTCAACCATTATACACTCTTCCACAGTGCTTTTCTCTCTTCATTCATGAATGTGGTATAGAGATAAATAAATCAAAACAAATGTTTTCTTATGAGTGATTACAATCTTAGGACTTTTTTTTTCATTGCATTTGCATTTGTCCAAAACACCTGGTCAGATCCTTTAAAGAAAATGTATGTAATCAATGTAATCGATTCATGTGTTTGGTGGCAGCATTTTGTTATTCATATAACAATGACCCATCTCAGTGATTTTTAATGCTTTGGTATTTAAAAAATTCATCATGTCATATGCATATTTGTGCAAACTTGAAGATAAAAAGCTACATAGAGAAAAAAAATCAAACATATCACACAATGACATCCTTAGGATTTTGATGCGGAATGAATCTGGGGTAGTTAAAGTGTAATGTGCCACGCTAAAAATTGAAAGAAATAAATATCAACAGACAAAAACTGGTTATTTATTCAACCAAAATTGAGGATAAATGTAGTTTGGACAAAATTTGAAGATACAGAACTACACATTGTGTTGCAAGCCAACTTGATTGGAGGAGAAATTGAACGGAGCTACATAAACAGGCGGCCAACTGAATGTGAACTGAGTGATAGGATTTCCTTTATCATTTTCCATGGGCTTAAATAAGAAATGCTGGCCCCAGTTGTGTAGTTTATCTATGTAGACGTTTGTAAAAAGAAAAAAAAAAAACCTGTTTTACAGAAAAAAATATGTATAAATGGTTAACCATGAAGCTGCATATTAAAAGTATTATGAATGTAATTTTCAATTTGATCACAACCGGACCGCAAGATTATTCTACCATATCTGCACTTATTTACAGCCTATAAAGCTCCTAATATCACCATCAAAAATGTTTGATTTTAAACTTCAAATAAAATATATTTTCTAAAAGATAAAGTAAGATTATTTTATATTTACACAAATAATTATTTTATCAATTATATAATTTATGGCAAAAAAAACAACAAAGTTTTAATCTATTTCTATAAAACCTTTCGAAAGCCCAGTTCTTAGTTTGCATGATTAAAAGAGCTTCTACAGAATTACAATTGCAGATCAAGTTTCAATTTTACAATTGTTGTAATGCTGTTAAATGAGTAAAATCACTGAATCCCTCAGATTAAGGTATTATCAATCGCTGGTGGTTGACTGGAAGTCGAAGAAAGTGTTCATCAGAGTCTGTCTTCTACAGATCTCAATAAAAAGGCAACAGTGACACAACACCTTTAAAAGCAGCCACAGCACACAGCACAGCCTCACATCTGCTTACAGCGCTCACAACAAACACCTGGACACAAACTATACATCTGACCTCCTTGAAGATAAAGTGTTTGGTTCATTTCTTCTTATAATACAATGCATTCAGTTAAAAACACTGTTAAATGTCTAAATTTGGTGATGTTTATGTTATGTTGTATTAGATGCTGTTAACTGTAATGCAAGTTTTCTTAGAGCCTTAGATCTCTGTTAGCTAATTTGAGTGATCTACAGCAACAACTATCATAGGACTCTGTGTTCAAGGAGTGTCATAGATCCTTCAGGGTCTGTTTCATCTCCTCTTTATTTTGAACAGGGTCTTTTGGGCAAAAAAATCATGCAAACCCTTTTTTTTTTAGTTTAGCTGCAATAAGAAGCCCATAAAGTGGCTACTTCCCACTGACATGCAAAGAGTTGGTGTGAACTTATCCCCATGACTTCTATTTCTGTTTCTTTCTATTACCCAGTCCTCAAATTTCACCGTAACAGACATATCTTTATCCATCAAGTTTTATCAGTTATCAACCTCAGAATTCAATTTTACAGGCAGGAAAAGTCTCGTCCTGCATGGCCACCGTGCTGTTAGATCCCAGAACAGTAATGTTCAGCTCCCGTTGCCTGTCCAGAGTTTGTTGGTACCACTCCTGCATCGACACAGATTCAAAGGTGGGTATCACTGTCACCTGGGCACACAGAGAAGGAGAAATTCAGATATTAGTGGGTTATTTCATCAGTACAAGCAAGAAACAATTTGTTACTTGTGTATTCTCTGTCTGTGTTGTTGCAGGCAGGCTTTAAACTCACGAGCCTCAAGTTAAGTTAGTATTTCGTTCTTTTTCTTTACCTGCATGATTTCTGGCCAAGATGCCTTGCCCTCAAGCAGAGCATCCAGAGTTTGTCTCATTAGCTTCTCCCGCTCCAGACTATTGCCACTGATGATGTAGCAGGAAGAGCGTATGCACCTGAAGAAGTCCTCAGTGACTGTGGCAGAGGAGGCTCCAGATGGAATATAAGTTAGGTCCACATAAATACTGACTTCACCAGCAGAGGGAGCCTTGGAGCCTAACAGTAGGGACAATAGAAAACCAAAGAATGTGAACATTTCAGTTAGCCTGATCAATAGGGGGATTCTTGTTTTAAATAACATACCAGGAGCTGGTGATGCTTTTGCTGGTGCAGAACGACTGTTGGAGGAAAGTGTTCGAGTTGAGGGGAGATTCACCCTCATGGTTCCACTTTGGCTGCCTGTTTTATTTTTTCCTGAGCCTGATTTTTGGGGAGTATCAATGATCTGGTGGTAAAACAAAAAGTTCAACATATAATTTAAAGAATGAATGAAATGATCTCCATGAAAAGAACAACTTATATTATTGATATTACTGATGTTAACAGATGAGTGATGCAAACTGCTGATTTTTTATTTTTTTTACATTTGTTTTGTCCAGGCATAAAATAATCATTGATTTCTCTAGGGTATTATGTAAAATATGAGCAAAAAGTAGTGCAAAATTCATTAAAAGTATTGTGGAGGATTTTTTAAAAGACCCGCCCTCTCCACTTTAAAAAGATGCAAGTACAAGAGCATGCACAAGCCCATTTCTCCTTATGCTCCTGTTTAAATGTGCTGTTCTCATAGCTCATACAAGCGTACTGTGTGCACATACAGTGAGGACTGTATAGTGGACTTTATAGCAAACTTGGTTTAACTGACTGGACAGATGATCACTGCTTTTTGATCTGTTGGTCATGTAACTCCTCCCCATTTTGTTATCATTTGCCATTGTCGGGTAGCGACAGCAGGCTGCTGTGACAGCAAATCCCATAATGCTTTGCGAAGAGAGCTCTCCGCCCAAAGCATTCTTTTTCTCCAACGGCCCCCGGCCATTTACAAAGAACCAGGGTGACTCACAACAGATATACCCCTGAAAGTGCGCATGCGCAGCCAAAGATAGCTAATGGAGCGAGCATGTAGGACGGCCAGAATGACTGACAATTAGGAGGACCACTTATTTTGATGATCCACCCAGAAATAAAAGATCGTCCTCTATACCTTTAAGTGTAGGAAAAAAAACTATAAATAACATTGAAAATATTTTTGAGATAAACATTTGAAAGGTTTGAGATAAATTTCTACTCAGTCCCTTTACACTCATACCCCTACAATAAAACCAACTGCAACCAGCGGCATTCAGAAGTCAGAAGAAATAAAATTACAAGAATGTTTTCATGTGTGTGAATGTGACACACTCACCCCCTGTAATTTTTTCCCACGGAATGAAGAGGATTTTGCTCTCTTCCCATGAGCTTCAGAGTTAGACTGAGGAACTGGCATTGAGGTGTCGGGAAGAGGAGGCAGGGGTGGACTGTCTCTGAGAGGGGCTGGCAGGGGGTCTGGGGGCAGAGTCTGACTCATGTCGTTGTTACATGGTGAGTTAGAGGGGTCGCTACATGAATCATCAGAATCAGAATCTAAAGCTCCATCTGCTGTGGTGGACGGGCAGTCTTCTGTGCAGACAGGGGCATTTGACTCACTGGGTGACCTGTCCTTTGGGACGTTATTGTTGTTGCCTTGATGATTTGGACCACTCACTTCTTTGGAGGCCTCACTGGTACCCGAGCTTGAGTCAGGGGGTTTGAAATGCTTAAACTCACAAGGAGAAACCAAACAGAGGTCCACGTCGTGAGCGGATGCCTCAAAATGGAGAGTGTTGGGTGCAGTCGGTCTCCCCATCTCTGAACTCTGACCCACAGATCTCGGAGGCTTCTTCGCTGGTAAAGACTTTCCTACACAATACCCTCCATTGGATTGGGAGAGATAAACTCCATCATCCCCTTCTCTATGGCTCCCAATTGTTGGTCCCTGCTCAAAGGACATGGATAATGATTCATCTACTTCTGTGGACTGAGGTGAGCCCACCTCTGCTGGTAAAGAGTGCGTGGTGGTGGTTGTGGTTAAAGAGGGGGATGGATCTGAAGAACCCTCCCTACATGTACCGAAAGAAAGAAAATTAAGATGCTTCTCTTTAGGATTTTCAGCAGTACTTTTGGTCTTGCAAACCTCCTCACTTTTTCCAGAGTATCCATTTGGCTCGCAAGCATCAGCTGAATGGAGAGCCTGAAGCCTGCTGAGTGTGGCCCTGTTGCACCACATGTCGTCCGGGGACAGGCAGTAGGGAGTGTGGCCCGCGCTGTTAGGACGTGAGTCAGGGGAAACTGGTTCTACAGTCTCGTCATCAGGACTGTTGGGGGCTTGGTTTTCTGGAGAGGTGTGAGAGGGAGGAGAGTGTCTCAAAGCCCCATCCAGGAGCGTGTACTCAGTTGGGGTTGTGTCCAGCTGGTCCGTTTGCTCACTCTTGTATGACTTGTTCAAAGGTGATGGAAATCCCACAACTTTTGCAGGTTTACTAGATTTAAACAGCTGTTCTGGACAGTTTTGTAGGAGGTCTCCTTCTGTTTTTTCACTCTTCCCGGGGATAGTTTGCACTAAACTGTCACCAAGCTCTACTTTCACTATTTCCACCCCACCTACTGCTTCCTCAGTTAACCTTCCAGGCTTTACATTGTATTCATCTTCACTAACGCCTCCAAGGATCTTTTCACATTCTAAATCACCATAGGTAAGTGTTTCACTCTCAGCTTTTTCCAGTTCGCTTTCCTTCTGCAGCCTAAGAAAATCAGCTGTCATATCCTCAGGGGTAGACACCTTGGAGTCGTATTGCTTCTCCTTAGCTTCTGTCTCTCTCTTGTTATTCTGTTTGTCTAAACAAAGGGGCTCTGGCTCTGTGATTTTTGACAAAGAACCTCGTTTTTGTTCTGATGAGTTATTTGTATGTCCTTTCTTGTCATCGCTTTCTGATGACTTTTGTGTTTTCTTTTCTCCTGTTTTGTCGTTTCTTGTATCCTTTTTGGGTTTAGCTTTATTGTCCTTCTTGGGTTTCAAGAGGACCCCATCTCTTTTAATCTGCTCAGTCCTTTTAACATTATTCTCCTCTTTATTACCAGCCTTCTCTTCTTTTTTTCCATCCTTTGCTGATCCTTTCTTTAAAGTATTCTTCTCTGAAAGTGAGGGCTTACGTTTTAGACCCACCTCCTTGATTTTAGTTTTATCAGTATCTTTGGTTCCACTTGATGTCTTTACCTTTTCTTTCACTAATACATCCTTTCCCTCCTCTCTAGTATCTCTTTCTTTCCCCCGCTTGGATGCTACATCTTTCCCTAATGTGCGGCCACTGTCCAGGCTCTCCGTTCTTTTAGCTTTCATGTCCTCACCCTGTCTTTCAAGGTCTCCAGTGGTTACTGTTGGCCTCTGAAGAAAGTCCAATCCCTTGAGCTTTTCCAGCCCCTGCAACATTTTAGCTTGTGGAGTTGCGCCAGGGAACAGCACTCTAACCACCTTCTCTTGGGGGCATGCTGGATGCCACACGAGCAGGGCAGAAACAGAAACCTGTGCAGTGAGAGGGAGACTTTGTGACAATGACGAGTCTCCATTGGGCCAGTTTTGCAAGAAGATTTCATACTCCTGGCTGTTCTTGCCAGGGCTGAGGATGTATAAATCCAGCTGTCCCACTCCCATCTTTTGAAACAAGGTGAGTGGCTTTATGGGAGTGCCTTGTGGTCGAAACATTGGTTGTGGCCTGATTTCTAACTTCTTCAAGAGCTCTAAGGTTATAGCTGCCTGCTGTGTGCTCTTCAGTATATTGTCTGTAACTTGAACAAGAAAAAAGATTGATAACTTGTATCACTTTTCTGTCGTTAAAAAAATAATAAAATAGCAAATATAAATACAGTTTTTAAAATTTAAAAAAACTCACGAGAATGTTGTTCTGCCTGCAACTTGTTGGGGGCATTAAAGAAAACCACTCCTAGCTCTGGAGAGATCAGCCTCTTCGACAAGTCATCTGTATAAAGAATGTTATACAGAAATAAGGACATTACAATATAAATTATGCAAGCAGCACATGCAGTAACCGTCATAGTTTACATACAGTTATCATTAACATAGCAGTATATTTATTTTGAACATTTAATGGTGTTTTAAATGTTCATCTTTGGTGAAGTTAGGGTTCATCAATCAACTTGAATGAACTTTAAGAACACTAATAGGGTGGTGAAGTTTTAAGTTATTGCGGGTTTTCTCAGACCTGTATATAAATTCTTAAATAAATTCATACACCCCGTCTATTAATGGATAAGATGTCTGTAAGAGGCCTTGTGCTTTTTTGTTGCCATCAATATGATCCTAGCCGATTCTGGCTGGATGTTGGACCACTGCTCTTTCAAGAAATACAGGAGCAATTAAAAATAGTTAGTTTTTGTGTCACAGATTCCACTTTTAGATTTTTTCAAAAGGTTATCAGGAACATTAAAGTTGGGACCATTCAAGAAGCCCCGAAGACTAAAGAACAGGCTGGACATCAGATTCAAGCAGACAAAGGAAGACAGGATAATCGAGAGGGTGAAGCCAAAGCTGGTGTCGAGGATGTGCACAGGAATACCAGGCCAGAAGATCAGAGGTACGAAGAGGAACCGAAGGAAAATCCAGGATGGTGTCAGGAAGCAGTTCCAGGTTTGATAAACATGCAGAATCAAACAGGAGTTTGAATACAGGTCAGGCAAACAGATCAGAACGGGAGCAGGCAAGCTCAGAGGTCCAGGAGCTAGGCATGTGAATGGGATGAGTAATAAGCCAGTCATCCGCGTCTAGATCATGACAAAAATATCTCAGCTAAAAAGATAACGTCTATGCAGACTTTTTATGTAAAGACCAGCAGTGTTGTGACTCCATTCCAGTTTATTGGTCATGTGAACAACCAGATATTTATGAGTTGAATCATAAGTGAGGCAAAGTGAGTTCCCTGTTCCCCAGTTTCAGTGTTTTAGGTCTGCTCCTGGGATAATACACCTCCTGATTCCTGGTTTTCCCCCAACGATCAGGGGATGGTTCTGGTGGCACCAGTCCACAAAGTCCTTAATCTACTTTCTGCACTCTGAGGCAGTCTCACCTATTAAAAAGGGCCATTTATAGGTAATCAGAGAACTTCTGTAGATGACAGTCTGCAGTAGGGTTTTCAGCCTCTGAGAGTGCTAACCTGCTAAATCTTCAGGATACTTTTAACTTTATCAGAGTTTACCAGCAGTGTCAATGTGCACTCAGAAGCACATTGACACATTGACTCAGTCCCAACGTGAGTCAGTCTTTAGAAAGGAGGGTCTCTAGCACCAAAACCCCTCAGTCGTACCAAGAAATATGGTCAAATACAGTATCAAGACAGATTCAGGCCAGAACATTATTTGATGACAGCCAGTGGCAGTTATACATGAATGAAATCTTGAGTGAGTCCCTCATCCCACCCACCCCAAGCCAAACAGCCCAGTTTGTAAAAATATAATTTTTGGATTATGGGACTGTAACCCCTGTTTAGTACTACCCTAAGCAAATGATCACTAAGAAAGTCCCAACTGAACATTTGCACAGTTTTCTCTGAAGTTAGCTAAGTGAGATTTAAATCTATTTAACTGTTCATCTTGGTAAATATTTTAAAGTGTGTCTTAAGTTTTGAATTAATCACAATACATTCATAGTTTGCTCTCAATTCTTGTTTTTAGAATTAAAAAAGTCTCCTGACTGGCAAAGTGCACTTTTGGCCTGAGAAATGAGAAAGTGTTTTCTTACCTTTGACATCATTGCTTAGCTCCTTCTCAGCCACCTTCCTTTCCAGGAATGAGACGGCACCAGGAAGGTTCTCAGTCCCTATGTGAGTCAACAAAACTGCATCAACTCTGTCCAGGTGCCGTACCAGCTTCCAGAAACAGGCCTGAGAGTCTGAGCCTCCATCTACCAGCACGGTGAACCCATTAACCGCAAAAAAGGCGCAGTCACCACGCCCGGCAGGGAACACATAGCAGCAAGGGCGGGACAGCTTGAGGAAGCCCACTGTGGTGGGAGGTGACAGCAGGTCAAACGGAGAGGTAGGGCAAATGGTCCCAGAGATGAGTGATGTAAAATCCCCCAGAGATGCCATGGCTGCCAGTACCTCAGGGGGGTTGATATGCAGAGTGAAGGGACCCTGCAGGGAAGAGTTTCCTAAGAGGATCTTTCTCCAGTGTCCGATGTTAGGACAACTGAGGGTTAGATTGGTTTTGGTAAGGGAAACACAGCTCCTGTGATCTAGGAACTGAAGACAGAAATTATCTTAAGTGTACATACATCTACTTTTTAATCAAGGCATACAAAATAAAGTACAGTTAAACAATTGAAATGTGATAAATTCTGTGCAGTTTAGACGTTTTTTTTTTTTTCATAATACCAAACATAAAATACTTTTTTTAGAATATGGATAAAAACTCAAGCATCTTGAGCAACTAAAATTCTTAACTTTATAATAAATGCAAAAAGAATGTCCCATTCCCAGAAACAAAGACATAACTTTGCACTCATTTTTTAAGACATCGTGATTTAATTAAGTTGTGCTTTTTAAATGCCGACACTTTAACTCAAATACAGTGACTTATTAAAGATATCATATATATCATATCATATATCATTGTTTTAAACTGAAATTCACTCATATTTCAGAGAGTGATTTAAACAAGGTCCCAAATATTCTTATATTTCCAATTTATTTTTTCTTTAAATTTAAATTCCCATCCACATTTAAAAGCTTATTTCACCGGTTGCTCATTGTTAACAAACACAAAGTTACTTAAGTGATGTAACGGATTAACATTTACAGAAGCATTCCAAAAAAGTAAAAAAAAACAATCCACTGGACTTTTTTTTTCCAAGTTTGAAGACTTTTAAAGAAGCATTTAGCAAAAAAAGCAAAGGGATTATTGTGTCGTACCTGCTCTGTTATTATTTGTCTCAGATGGTCAGGAGAAAACTGCCCTCTGTGAAAGAGCAGCTCTCCACTTTCCTCCTGGCTAAGGCCAGCCAAAATCAGCAGCTTATGAGCAGAATCCCTGGACAGCAGGGAGAAAACCTGATGGGGCAACAGAGGAGGAAAAATCCGATTAGGTCAAAAATCAGAAATTTTGAACAAGAAGTGATTAAAAAAAAACTTCTTTTACATGCTAAGGGTGCATGTTACAAATACAGATGATACTTATTCAGCAGAAATAAATCCTTGTAAGCTAATGTTGATAATTATTTGGATTTTTAAACAAAGGCTGGTAATAGTGGACAAAGGAATGCTCTCAATTCACTAATTACATGAAACTATGGTAATAAAAAACTGATATTCCTTAAAAGAATCATATCTGTATGAAATTATCCACAGTTGTGCAGAGTTAGACACATTTTTCGTATCCCTCATAAAAACCCTTGTGATAAACTCATCTTTTATTGCTTCTTATTTATATTTAATGACTTTGTGTTTCCTTGGGGTATAATAACGATCTGGCATGATTTTATATTCAGCTACAGACAGCTAGACTTGATGTGACTCATATTACTGGTACGCCATATTGTTACTCCCTAGTTAGACCGGTCAGCTAAAGCATCAAACAAGGATTATCTACTTTTCAGGGGGGCTTAAGACTTTTAAAATAAAGATAAAGTCATCACTTTGGCACAAACCTGCTTTTTTATAGCATGAATTTAGATTACTTTAGATTACTGTCATTTAAGGTAAAAAAAAAAAAAAAATGTATAAATCATGCAATAAAACATACATGTATCATTCAAATCCATCACAACCAAATTAATGTTTTAATGGAGCATAATAATTCTGTACCTATATATCATGAATATTACACCCATACACAGACACATACTATCTGATGATGTGTCAAATCTGCAAGATTGATGATGTACATGTAATAAACATGTATTGATTGCATTGTAATGGCAAATACATTACATTACAACAATTGTTATGGCAAGACTCTGTGAAAATGGGGATTGCCAAGATGGCGGCAGGTGATTTCAGTTTTTTTGTCTATCGGCAATCCAGTGAATAAAAAGAGATCAGTGGAATTGAGCAGCATGGTAATAGGGAGAAAAGTCTGCAAAGATCACTGTTGAAAACAATTTTCAAAATGTTAAGTCCTAAAAACCTCTAGATACCATTACATTATACCTCTTCACCAGCGGTAGCTTGACAGTGAAGAATGCAGGAAAAGACCTTTCCAGTTCATCAAAACTCTACTTGGACTTCAACTAGAACCTTACGCTTTGATTAGGTCAGAGAAGAGCTTTTCTTTAACAAACATTGCAGGTTGGTTTGGTGTGAAACCAAACCAACCTGCATTTTTTTTTTACATTGGCCCCTTGATTTTACGTTATTACATCATGTTCTACTCACCCATATGAGTTTTGTGTCATTTGGAGCTGTTCTGAAGATATTTGGTTAGGTTATATCCAACTAACCTCTTGCTATGGGGAAATGACTTGAAGGCACAAACTAAACTGTTCATAATGTATTATTTATGGTACACCAGCATTCATAACATGTAAGCGAATCACTGTCCCCCAGACATCCACGTTTATATTTTTTATATTTATATCTTTTAAAAACAAAGCGGCGTGAGTATGTCGTCATCCGAGAACCGGAGTGGAGTTGTAACAGGAAGCCCGGGCCACAGCCAGCTACGCTCTACCCCTTCTATTCATTCGACTAGCTAATCTGAATCGTTCAATTCCATTTCCAGAGCGAGATCATCTGTGGTAGTAGCACTAGACATCTTCCAGGCATGTGAGTAAAACTAGCAGCAGTTCAGCGGACAGGATGAATGAATGGATGACGTGGATGCGGATGTCCTGGTTGTCTTTGTGTTACCCTACGATTGACTGGCGACCTGTCCAGGGTGGACCCTTCCTTTCGCTCAATGACAGCTCAAGATAGGCACAAAACCTCGTGACAGAAAATTAATTGATGGATGGATAAAGGGCACCTCAATCCAAGAAACAATCCATTTAATTTTGGTGATGATCTGGAACTTAATTTGGATCCAGGATTTTTTTTAGTATTAACTAAAGGTGGAACTGACAATATGTCAGCTATTATGTTAGCTATTTTGTGGAGGTCTGCACACTTCTAGTGCTCTTCTAGTTTACAATGTGAGTCAGAGAAACAAACAAATCCCATTATAATTCAAGGCATCAAACAAATAGCATCCTAGTGTAAACTGTCTATGTGGACAGCGCCCCTTTTGGGCTGATTATGTGGATCATATTTTTTTAGTAAATAAGAGGTATGTCATCAGAATGGAAATACAATCAGTGATGCTTCATAATGTACGATCAGCGAGACCAAAAACTTTGATTCTTTCAAGATTTTTTTTTGTACAATTATGTAAGCATCATGTATTACAAGAGTCCAGTTTGACTCTCTATCCTCTTAGTCCCAAATAAACCGAAGGGTGGCAAAAAAAAAAAAAAAAAAAAACAATAGAGGCTTTTCATATACTGTCCAAATAATACCAGCTATCATCCTCAGGATAGCACATTAGGATGAGCTAATGTAGCTTATATTTGTAGTATTACAAATATCCATTTACTCCGGACTCCTTCTTACTATTAATCTCAGCCAAAGTAACACTATTGAGGAGGAATTATTGTCCTGCTCCAGTAAGACTTTTGAATAGCTATCAAAAGAAGAGATAAATAATCTCAAACTGCTTTACAATGAATCCCAAGCTTTAATATTAACATCATATTCAAAAAGAAAAAAATATTTTTTACCTCAGAATAAGCCAGTTCCTGAGAAGGACTGATCAGCACCTGCGTGTCCAACACTTTGGTACAGTGGCGAAGACACTTCTGCCCTGATGAGGCAGAAATATTAGACGCAGGTAGCGATGGACCAAGAGGAAAAAAAAGGATAGAAGAAAGCAGAAACACAACAGTCAGAGTGTTTGGGAAATACTTAAGAAGATCAAAAGGGAGAGGAGTCTGAAAATAACAAGAGGAAGGGAACCAGAACAGCTGAGTCAGATGGCTGTCAGAGGATGATCTTCCAGTTTTACTCTATCTACAGTGGAAATTCAGTATAAAGGGAACTGGCTCAGGCTCTAAAGTCACAGAATTGGACATGATAATATGGCTTTAAGGAACACATGTTAAGCACTATTTTATTCTTGTGATATGATGCTTTATGATGTTGTCAGAATGGCTTAAGATCCTTGAGTCATTAATATTTGTCTTTTTAGAAGCCAGATTTCTTATAGAACTTTTTAAATTCTTCATAACTGGCTGTTTTTCTCTTTTGTGTTTAAAAAGCTTTAATCGTTCTCAGGCCAGAGGATTTATGGTTCATTTTAATGCCAAATCACTGTTTTTAGGCTTGTGCTGCTAAATAGGGGGATACACAAGTTTTGCATTCAGAAGTAGACAACTATCCTAACAACTATCTTTTTTTTTTTTTTTTTCAAAAGAAAAATCCTTTTGACACGTAAGTCAGAAATTTGCTCTTAAAATTCAGAAGTAAATGATCTACATGTGGATTATCCAGTTTTGGGGTTTCTATTGGACCTGCTTCTCTTCAACTGCAGTTAATAGCTGTTCTGTTTTAATATAATATGTCCATTTTGCTCAGATTCTTCTCAAACCACACTATTGACCATGTAGAAACACAAACAAGCTTTTTGGAAGTTACACTGCTGGCAAAAAAAATATTATAATCTCTGCCATATTAGGCACTTTTTAATAAAATGTAATGTACAAAGAGAAAACCTTGTGTTCCAGAAAAGTATCTTATGCCTCGTTGTTGTTTTCCATGGCTCTGGCTCATCTCTGTGGTGCAAACAAAGCTAATTTCCACTACCTTTTCAGCTGCAAGATTCAGCTACATAATCACAGTGAACACTTGAGAGCCTTATTGATCCTCTTATCTAACTTTTGGCAAGAAAGCCAATGAATGCATTTCCAACAAAGCAACCGTTGCACTTTCCATTTGCTCCATTTGAATGAAGATGGGTCCAACTCAGAGAAACAAGCATATACTCGTGACTTTTTCCACCCTAAATTTTAATCAGTTTCTTTAACTTCGTCTTTAAATAGTTGTGCGTGATAAAATACTGTAAAACAGACACAGAGTTCACATACCTTGCATCAGGTCCTTATTGTTTTCTTCACTAAGGTTACACCCATGCCTAACAATCAGCAAACTGCTTCTCACTTTCCTTCCTTCCTTCCTTCCTTCCTTCCTTCCTTCCTTCCTTCCTTCCTTCCTTCCTTCCTTCCTTCCTTCCTTCCTTCCTTCCTTCCTTCCTTCCTTCCTTCCTTCCTTCCTTCCTTCCTTCCTTCCTGAGTGACCCCACAGCAGCTGTGCTGGTGCCTGACCAACACTTTGAGTGCATTTGTAAACCTGGCGTGAACGGGCTCTTCGGTCTCCAAAGAAAAGCTCCTTACCTGCACCTTTAAAAGATGCCGTGTGATGGGAGAGGAATTCCTGTAGAAACAGATTCAGGTTGCAGGATTTTAAGTCCACGTCCCATGACCGTATACCTGAGGGCATAAAAGATAAATTACCTGTCTCAGCTGGTACCCCAACGATAATTTTTTTTTAATTATTTAATCTGTCCAGTATTTTTTCGATTAATCAATTAATTATTGGATCGCAAAAGGTTCAATATAGAATAATTTTGACAAAATTAAACCAGGTGAAACTAAAACGATTCCACTTGAGGAACTCTGGATAGAACATATTGACAGATGTGTTTTTATCTTAAATGCAAAATTTTATATATATATATATATTTTATTTTTTATTTTTTTTATTTTATTTTTTTTTTCACAATTTTTGTATAATTGCTCCTCAAGGGTTAGTTGATTTGTCACTTAAAGGCATATTTTACAATCTCAAAACTCCAATGAATCAATTACATGATTAGCTGACGATTATTTCAATAATCAATTAATCAAAATTGATCCGATTAATTGTTTCAGCCCTACTCACAATCACAATTTTGGACTAAAATGTTCACAAGATAAACTTGTGTATATTGTGACTATTATTGTGGCCGTTTTCCAGAAAGTCTAATTCTATAAAATAGGAAAAAAAACAGTCTTTTAACATTGATTTCACTAAAACTAAAAAAAAAACACCTTATTAGAAAGTCTTGTTTTTATACTTCATCTGATAGGAGTACCATTTAAGAGCCTTCGTACCAGAGTATTCATATTTCTTATCCCACAACATTTCTTTATTTGTAGCAATAGGTTAACATAAAGTAACACAAAGTAACTCTACATGATTGGCACATGTACAGAATTTGAACCACTGAATATTGAATTTGTTCCTCTTCAGTATATAGGGAAAAAAAATCATAATTTGGTTTAACTGTATACTTTGACTGGGTAATCCTTGCACAGTCAAGAACATGCCTTTGTGAATGGGATGGCTGTCCCATTTAATGGTGAACCTACATCCAAGTTCTAGTCTTCTGCTACTTTCATTCATTTTTCACCACCATTTGAACAAGTTAAACATTGCTCTGATCCTATCAGACCATCTTTCAGATGTCAGAGCTTTTGCCTCAATAGCTGGTGAAATAATACAGACTTTCTTATGGTTTTCCTTCAACTATAGCATTTATTCAAATCTCATAAGGTAAAAAATATTGCATCTCCAGAGTGTTTGCTTCAGTTTAGGTGGACAGTCATGTTTCTGTGTACTTGCATCTATGACAGTTTTAATAAGTTAATCTGTCTATGTTGTATTGTGCTCATATTTATTCAATATATTGTGAAAGCTGTTGCATAACAATCAATCAAAATATTATAAAGCTTGTTGCTTTAGCATGGCAAAATGTGGAAAGGTCCTTGAATCTTAACAATAATTCCAAAGCTCTCTGTATGTAAGATTTGCATAGATTTCATAACGTAATTTCAAAGTATTTAAACTAGACCAGCAAGTTTATTTTCAGTTTTGACACATGATTTTACCAGGATGGCATTTAAAGAAGAAGGTGGATGAGGTGGGGCATATGAAACTCAAAAGCAGAAGTGGACAAATAAGAAGTTTCCTGCCCTAAACCCAGAAAAACAGTGCAATAATTACTTCATCATGTCTCTAACTACGTTGCTTGCTGTTTTGTATCTTAGGGTTAGGTGTAGGGTCAGGGTTAGAGTTAATGCGCATGCGCAAGGATATCTTGTCTCTAGGCAAGACGTAAAAATACGCCGAAATACCACGAAAAAAACGTCTAAAACGTACGAAATTACGGTGCACAACTTTTCGTACGATTTCATACGAACTGATAATGAGAATATGTTGATAAAGGTGAAATAAAAATACTGCGATTTCTCTGATGGAGGTGGGTGTTTTTAAAGAAATTAAGAATAGAAATATCATGCCTATCAAGCATTTATGTCACTAACTTAACCTGAAACGTGTTAATGAGAAAAATGTATTAACACATGTATGCTCTTATGCATTTATAGTGCAACAGTGAGTGAAACTGATCCTCAATCACAGCCGATTAAGGAAGACTTTGCCTACTCTAAACTCAGGATGATTTGTCAGTTTCTTAAAAATAGCTCCGTAAATAAAACTATTTTCTGAAAACTTACTGTGAAAGTATCAGGCAAGTAAGAAAATCAACAGACTCTTGTTCTTTTTAACATAATCTTCATCTGAAGCCTGGAAATTTTAAGAAGCTGCAAGGCTTTTTTTTTTTTTTCTGAGGAAAATTTAACAGCATTTTGGAGAAAGTGGTTTTCATCAGGCATTGATTAAATGTTAATTGGCCCAGTTAAGGACCAAAGTGGTTCTCGGTGTTCAATTATTTCCAGCTTTAATGTTTTATTAATACACCTTTTAAACAGACAGAGCATACATGTGGTTGCGGAGGATAGTGATGCACTAACATCTGCTGTAATCAGATCTTGGCTGATCATCTCAGGTGATGCTATGCATAAATATGCAAGCTTGGACATCGATTGCATGAGGCTGGAGATCCCCACTTCATTTCATCTAAAGCTTCTCCTAACATTTTATATATATATATATATATATATATATATATATATATATATATATATATATATATATATATATATATATATATATATATATATATATATATATATATATATATATATATATATATATATATATAAAACAAACAAACAAACAAAAAAACCCTAGCTTGTGACTGCTTTTAATTAAAATACAGCCGGAGGGATGAGGAGGAGATGCTGATGTTGGCGCAGAGCCAGATGACGCATCCTCAGTCCTTAAGGTGGACAAAATGATTAAAACCCTTTAAACCGCTCCCTCTTTCATTCATTATACAGATTCAGCGGACTGTGAGGACCTGGAAGGGGTGTGAAATCACATTAAAACGCAGAAGAAATTGGATTATATAAAAAAAAAAAAAAAATCCCGCAATGAGCTTCGTTGGTGTAAATATCTGCACCCACCTCTTTCGATCTCCGCCCGGATGTTCTCAGTCTGTCTGTGGCGAGCCGTCCGTCCGATTATAATCAGCAGAGAGTATTTGTGGGGACAAAAGTCCTGTGTTGCGCTCTTCTGCTCCTCCTGGACCTCCCTCTCCAGCACCCGGCTGCACGCCATGTTGGGTGTGATGTCATTGGGAGAAAATTAGAGCGCACAAGCGCCTGTGCGCCAGCGGAGGGCCGCTGTGATGGAATGCCTTTGTGAATGCTTAAGCGACGTAAATATGGAATGTAGAGTAGATATCAGCCTTCACTATTCTGCTGAAAAGGATTAGACAAGTCTAACAGTGAAATTATGGATGGATGGATGGATGGATGGATGGATACTAAATTGTCATATCACTTCCTCCTAAACAGAGAATTTGTTAACAGCAAAGACATAATTTGCAGTTCACTTACTGGAGATAAAACCATTGGTGGCAGGGTTGTAGTCAAGAACACACTAACCAAGACCTAAGAGTACTGAGACAGAGACATGGCCAATACCTTTGGAGAACAAGACCAACCAAAGCTCTAAGCAAGGGCGCCACTGCCACCCTGGGCTATGCATAGAATCAAGAAGGGCTAGGGCCATAAACCTTGATGACTTTGTGGAAGGGTTTGCCAAAAAGCATAGTAACAGGCGAATAAAGCTGTTCTGAAGCCTGATAATCAGAGTTGTTGACTGTGGATCTTTGCTGGAAAGTATTATTTTTGTTTCACATTAAGGTTAGATTTAAATGTTTCTTACAAATTCAGTGTAGCTGTGTAATCAGAACAAGACTATTGATCCCTGTTGGGATATTCCTGTTACATATGCAAAGATATCATTTCTGTTCTTGCTTTTATTTTTATCTGCCAGTATCTGTTTTTCCCCAGTAATTTTTTGTTTTCAAAAAATGAATAAATGTACAACTTATTTCAAATATAAATAAAACACAACTATTGTTCAACTCAAAATGTGTGGTCTATGTCTGTGCACATTAGATCAGTAGTAACATTAATAATCACACAATAAGCCAAAAGATATGAGTAGGTGTTTACTTAGATCTTTATAATAGTTTTCCACAAGCAGTTTTACCGTAGCAGTAGAATAAAACCCTGAAATTATGTTTCCGTGTGCCACCCCAAGAATTTAACAGGCCCCATCTGGCCTACCCTATGAAACATTTCTAGAGGCGCCCCTGGCTCTAAGGCGGAGGTCTTCAACAGGTACTGCATGAGCGTCGCGAAAAATATTTTTTTTCTTTATATTCCCCCCTTCAATATTTTCCACTATTTGAAGTCATCAATGCACATATTCAGCGACACACAGGAGCTCTTTCAAGCCGGGCACCGTTTCATTAACACCTGTCCCATCAACAAGGAATCCGAAATACTTTAATTATCCCAGGGCAAAATGACTTTCGTTACATGACTCCATCTATAATAGAGTAACTATAGAACCAGTCTGATATACCACAATTTCATACAATATATATAATTAGTGGGTCCCTGCTCCATCTCGCCATCAGTATGGGTGTTCTTGGCCTGGAAAACGTTAAAGACCCCTGCTCTAAGATAATGTCTCTGTACTCTTGGTTTCGGTTAATGGTGGTCATGATTGCAACAGTAATGGGCAGTTCTAGACAGGGGCCAACGTGGGCCAGCTTGCCTGTTGAACTGGTCCTGAATCCTGTGCTTAAAGATAGTGGAGAATTTTCGTGAGTTTTTTAAAAGACCCGCCCTCTCCACTTAAAAAAAAAACTGCACATGTACAACCCTGTACCCTATTAAACACATGCAAGAGCATGCACAAGCCCATTTCTCCTCGTTCACGCTTTGTTTAAAAGTAGCTGGTTGCATCGCTCATACAAGCTCAGCTTTTTTATTGTCATTACACTGTCAAAAGTACAGAGCAACAAAATGAACTTCCTGCATTTAACCCATCCCCTTGGGGAGCATTGGGATGCCATTGTGCGGCGCCCAGGGAGCAGTGTGGAGTTAAGGGTCGTGTTCGGGGACCCAGTGCAGCTGTAGGGATCGAACCAGGTACTTGCAACCCTCTCAGAGAAAAGTCGTACTGCTCTAACCACTAGGCCAACACTCCAAACACACAAGATTACTTTCCAAATTAAGATTTGAAATTTTTCCAGACTCACCACCACTAAGTGAAAAGGGGGCTGAGCACGTACGACGGCCTTATGAAAACAAAGCACCAGAATGTTTGACAATTAGGAGGACCACACTGCAAAAAATATAAATCTCAATAAGTTATTTTTTCTTAAAATAAGTGTGTTTTTCCTTGATTTGAGGAGGTAAGTAAGACACTTTGCCAATGGAACAAGACAATTTCCTTTTAAAATAAGAAAAAACTATTTTATCGTCTTATTTCAAGTAAATATTATCTAACTATCTTATTTTAAGAGTGAAAATACTCATTCCATTGGCAAATCATCTTATTTACCTGCTCAAATTAAGGCTAAATATACTTAATTTAAGCCATTTTTTACTTATTTCTGGATTGTTTTTGCAGTGCACTTATTTTGACGATCCACCTGAAATAGAACATCCTCCACTATACCTCTAAGACATAATAATAATAATAGTTCACTCCCACAGACTGCCACTCCAGGTCTCTAAGCAAGACCCTTAACCCCCGCACTGTTCTCCGGGTGCCCCATTATGGCAGCCCACTGCTCCCCAACGGAATGGGTTAAGAGCAGAGGTAAACTTTACAATATGAGATCAATAAAGTTAAACTATTATTATAACCAAATTGAAAAAGTACACTTATTTTATACAATTAAATTAATCAGTTATGCTTAAGTTCTTATTTTTATTTGCGTTATACTAATTGTTATTTAATATAATCCTGAAATTTAATATAATCCTGAATTATAAAATTGAGTCAATATTCCAAAAAACAGCTTTGCTTTATATTTTAGTAATTATATTTTTAGCAGCTATTTATTTATATTATTTATAATATTTCATATTAGGCAAATAAAATTAACATTTTCAAACCAATGATACACATTTTTAATTAGAATAACAAGTTCAAAAAAAACATTATGTCATGGAATTTCCACTTCATTCAGTACAAAGCAGCTCTCATAATATATTTTAAATCATAAGCTATTGCCGTATTTTTCTTGTCTGCTTTCTTGTGCCCCTATGAAATCATAAGGGACACACCCTGAACCCCATAAAACATTTTGTCTAGAATCATGGAGATAGCTCAATACCAAATTGATAAAACATTTATATCTAATTCCACTTCCCCACATAGAAAGGAATGAGAGACAGAGGTTGATGCTGCTGCTTGCAGTCTAACTGCTGATCAGAGCTTATTATGCATTAATCCTGTCTTTCTAATGGGAAGATTGACAGGGCCACTGACCACAGGGTAATCAACAGACACACTGTATGCAGATGGACAATCTGTCTCCATTTACACGAAATAAAAAGAGTACAAGTATAACCTGCACATGAGGAAAGCCCAGAACTCGGACAGAAAAAGAGAGCATACAGGCAGATTTAGAGTGCATCAATCTGATGGAAGAAGATAGCAAAAACCTACTTTTAAAATTGTCCTTCATGTAGTGGTGGACGGCCATTAGGACGGCGGTAAACCACGAGGAGGCGACCCGGCCAGAGGCTGCTGATGAATGGATTCCTTCTGTCGGCGCACCACCGGTATGTGGGGGTCTGAGCGGCTCCGACAGAAATAACATTGGGAGGCAGGATTGTAATCTGGATAAACTGACTGCACTGATGAAGTTTTCAGGTGTATTTTCTCACTTAAAAACATATTAAAACTACTTTATTCCCACTGATCACAGCAAATATAGCTGCAAGGCAGAGAAAGGATAGTGAAGCTCTGTCCAACGCGCGTCAGACACACTTTTGCTACCGGCTGGTAGGTGTTTTTCATCTAAATAATCCGATCTGCAGGCACCAGAATAATAAAAGCCAACATATTCTGCCGGCAGATGTATATATTTTAAGTTAATTATGCGTTAACAAACTGTTTAAGAGAAGTGATCAGAGCGGTCTGTGTCATCAGCGCTGTGTCTCTCTCCCAGCCAGCTCCCAGATCAGCTTCTCTGATTGGTTGACGCGGCGCGTCGAGCAGCAAAAATTCAATTTTTCCATCTCGAGCAGCAGCGCGTTTGCTGCGCGTCACGCGCGTCAGATGCTTAAACGCGCCCGACTGCTTCAGCTGCTCAGACGCGCCGCGGGACCTTTTGCGTCAACCATTGACTTTGCATGTAAACTCGCTGCTTCTGTCGCGCCAGCTGCGCCCGGTGTGAACACAGCATTAGACATAAAAAAATATATAATTTTATATAATAGGCCTACTAGAGCAGGAGCATTTAGAGTTAAAGAAATTTAGAGCGGATCTTAAACACAAGCTAAGCTGTCTATGGAAATTCATATAACAGGCTCGAAAACAGAGACCCAGACAAAATAAGCCAACTTCTCTCGAATTCATACAAAATGAGTTGGATCAATTTAGGGCTAAAACAGAATTTTAAGAATATATTATCCTATAAATTAAAAATCACTATTAAAGTAAAACAAGTGTCAGTTAAAATCATTAAATGATGAGCTTGTTAATAACTGTGGGATCCTGTTGTGTTTTAGTTTGATTTCTGGTATCTTTTGGGCATTTAATTTTGTGTGCATTTTGAAAACTTTAAAATGTAGTTTAAATTTCTTTATTCTTATCATGGTGTTGTCTGTTGGACAGTAGGATTGAAAATTGTTTGCACTTTATGGTACAGGTTGTGACTGTCCTTGTGCTATGAGGAAGTATGTTCTTTAGCCCAGCTGATCTTTTGCAAGTGTGGATGTCCACTGAAATATGCTTTGAAATCGATTAAAACACCTTGTGGTCAACTCGATTCATGCCTCATCCTTTTTTGCATTAAATAACTCAAACTAACTAAGTAACTTTTACTCAAATTACATTTTAAATAAAGTAATTTTGTACTTTTACTTGAGATGGGTAATTTTAATTTTACTCTGAGTAAAATTTAGGCAAAGTAAAGATACTTTTACTCAATTACAATTTTTTAGTACTCTTTCCACCTCTGCTCCCCTAGAGCTGAATTCGACAATGACCAGCAAGGTTTTTACATTTTTACATAACATTTAATTCCACAGAAGTGAAAATGTGGCGCTGTTTAGCTTAGTACCGCGCTGTTTGTGGTCTCGGGGGAGTCATAGTTTCAGCAATTAGTCTGGACCCGTTTTTTTTTTTTCTCTTAAAAACTGACATGGCGATTTGAACGGATTAGGAATGCAGACATTTTTAATATCACTAATTTTTCTCATTGACAACATCTCAACTGCACAGTTGTTCAACCTGTTGCTCATCCACATGTATATCAACACACTTGGCCAAATGCACTCAATCTCTGACTTCATTTATGTTATATAGATTTTATTTTAAGGTCTATCAGTCTGTCACTATTGTAATTGTTTTAGTATTACAGTTATGTTGCTTGCCTCATGCTGCTAAATTAATTTAAATGTTAAAATACTAGTATTTTTTTTTATTCCCATGATTATAAAAAAAAAAAAAAACATAAAATACATGCCCACAAAAAGAAACAAAAAAAAAAAATCTGATCCGTTCAACTGTTGCAGGCAGTCAGGATTTTTTTTAAAAACTTCTTAGAACAGGAGTGTAACATTACACTGATGCCATATATTGAATTTTAAACTTGGATTTTAATTTATTTCTTTCCATTTTCAGGTGAAAGTGGTCTAAAATGCTTCTGCGTGTTGTAGTATCAGAAACTGACACCACATGTCTTTCAGTTGAAGCCATCCCCTCAAATGTTGAGGAACTATACCAGGTGTTGCGAACCAGCCTTGGTCTGAGAGGAGGATTCATTTTGCAGTTTGAGGATCCTGATTTCAATAATCAGTTGTGCAGCCTAACAGACATCAAAGACCTTCCTGTGGACCGGGAAACCTTGAAAGTATTGTTCACAGTTTAAGACTCCACTGATTCTACCCTGGACACAGGAAGCCTCCCTTCCGTCAGTAGTGGGGATTCTGTTGAATGGCCTGATCCTTTCCCAATTTCAGAGTTCTCTCATGTTGTAGAGCTGCAACTAAAAGAAGGAAATGATCGATATACCAAGGATGGATCTGTGATGGGGATTTCTAAAGGTTTAAAGACCGATATCCTCGACACACTTACAGACAGTATGTCAAAGATTAGTGCTTATCCTGAGGGAGAGCACTATGAAAATGTAGCCAAAGCACTGGTGATGACGCATCCCTGTTTGCGTGAAACAAGGTCTGAGAAAGGATGGTACTCATGGTTTCACAGCCTGAAATTTAGGCTTGGAAACTACCAGCAAAAGTTAAGTGCAGCAGGATGCCCTGAAGTTACCATAAATAAAAGAAAAACAGGAGGATCAAGGGGAAGATGTGTCAAGAAGCCAAAGAAGGGTGAGGTAAACTACTGTCCTGATCCACCTGAAGGACAAAATCTTGAAAGAATGGAGGAGAAGCGCAAGATAATGGAGACTGAAATGCAGAAGAAAGACCCTGATCACCAGCTGCTAGAGGATCTGATGGTTTATACATTTTCCGAGCGTAGAAATTAGATTATTGGAGATTAACCACACATCACAGAGCTAATTTCCATGGCCAGCTCTGTTTCAAGAGAAACAGGTGATTACATGATGTATTCATTCCAAGAGATATTATATCCTGTTATGTTAGACAATGTTAACTGTCCTATTGAGAAATATGTTTTTTGTTTTCTGTATATTTCCTCAGATTAGGGCAGAATTTAAGAGGATCGTTACCACAGACCTTCTGGTATCCTTTCTTGGCGGACTTGATGGCCTGGTCCCAAGACTCCTGGAGATGTACAAAACAGCAACAAAGTCTGGAAAGAAGCGATCACTCAAAGACATTCTGGACTGCCTATCAGACCGGCTCCAAGATGGGCACAACTTGGAGCCGGTCTGATAGAGGATCCTCTATCAGACCGTCTCCAAGATGTGCCCATATCCTGTGTACTCTTAAAGACACGAAGGCTGTCTTGATTAGATGACCTCCGTACACACTGTGACATCCACAATGTGAAGGAAGGCCTTCTACTCTGTCTAATCTGGCTAACAAAATAACAATGCACATGATGTATAAATAATAAACCTAACAGAAAGATGTAAGTGGATGTGAGAATGGAAAGAAAATCAGGCAAAATGTTAATGCTTACTATAAGTCTTTTGTAATCATGTCTTGTAGGACACAAACAAGAGGAGAAGGGCTGCTGCTCTGCTTGGTCTGCCACACTACATGTCAGGAGAAGATCCATCAGATGTCATCAGAATGTGTGATGTAAGACATTCTTTTTATATTTTTTATTTTTTTACTTTTGTATTAAATTAAACAACCAGCATTATATAGATGCCTTGGAATAATTATGTCCTATGCTTGCACATAAAAATGGTCTAATTTATTTATTTTTCTCTATTAAGGCTCATGTTGAGAATCTGGATGAAGCCATGAAAGGAATGCAGCTTGGTCTTCTGATAGGCTGTGAAGGTGGGACTTTGATGTTGCAGCTGTGGTGGAGGAGACCATTGTGCTTCACAATGTTAAGGATGTGGCACATAGCTTTGCCATGCTTATGGGTGTCATCTACTGTGTCAATCTCAAGTATCCAGAAGCCATGAAATACTCCTTTGAGTTTATTCAGAGAGTGGTGATGAAGATAAAACCAGACCAGGCCTCGGCTCGAGTGCACTGCTTCAGAAATAGAATTCTGAGGTATAAACTGTAAAATCTGCCAAGTTTTAAAAAAGACCTGCAAGAATGTTGTTCACTGTTCTTTTTTCATGCACAATAACTTTCAGTATTGTGCTGAACTATTGTTCTGTGATGAAACGTGACACCCAGGATTTTCAGTTTAAGATTGGAGTAAACATGTTCTTGCACTTATTTGTATTTGAATGATTTTTGAAAAATTATGGTCTTTACTGGTCAAAGACTAGTAATGTTTAAATGCAGGGAAATTAAAGGTGGGACAGAAGGTTTGAAAAATTACACAATAACTAGCATCAGAAAATGTTCTTTTCAGTAGAGTGGGGTATGAAAATTGTAGTTTTTATTTCCCAGTCAAAATTCTTTAAAATAGGACACTTTTTCTTTTTTTTTTTTTTTTTTTTTTTTTACTTCAATTCTGTAATTTTAAGCAGATACTAGCCATATTCACTTTGTAGGCAAGTTTAGAAGTGATGATCTCAACTGTAATTTTCTTTAGGCAGACTTGCTTTATCTTGTGTTTACTGAGTTTATGCAAAGTTTCATATGCCTTTGTGTTTAAAGAGCTGTTTATAAACCGTTTTTGTAATACATATAATCTCAACTGTACTCTGTTCTAGCAGATCCCCCCCACAATAAATCTGTAATGTTAAATGAAGCTGTTAAATGAACATATTCAAAACCTAAGACCTTTCATTGTTGGAATTCAGAGCTTATTGAGGATACTTTTGCCCACAAATGTTTTTGTGGTTAGACTGATCTCTTATCTAATGAGCTTTGTTACCACAATTTGTGAAAATAAATGTTAAAAAATATTTGAGTTCTAAGTGCATTCAGTGTTGTCTTTTGGGATATTGGTGAACTTGCCATTACTAATTAACATAAGGGATAATATATAAAAATGTTAGTATATTTAATTTGTTGTGCCATATGCCATGATCATACTTTTTGGACATTGGGAAGCAGTGTCCATATTTCATCCTGATAGGATGACCAGAAGAGAGAACGCAGCTTTGGTGGATAACAGCTGGGGGAATTCAGCAGCCCCCCCTTTTTTCAGCAAAAGCAGCCACCAGCAAGTCACATGGGAGCCACCAGAGGTGTGAAAACCTACCCCCTCCCTGTGAAGTCAGAGAAAACCACAGAGCACGCAGGATTCTGCCTCTTTTGCCTCGCTCTTTTGCTCTTCTGCTGCAGCACCTCTCTCCTGGTCCCTTCTGCTCCTGCGCTCAAAGCTGGGGCCCACTGTGGCCCACAGTGGAGATGCGGGCCCCAGGGGAACCAGATCCCCAGAACCATCAAGGATGAGTCAGAACTCTTCAGAACCTAACTGCTGCAAACAGAACTTTTGCAACACATTTCTCTTGAGTTTCAGAACTTACAGAGCCAAACTGGATGAGGAGCATGCCCTGGGTTTGAGACTGAGGGGACCCCTGCTGTGAGACTGAGACAAAGAGCACCTGACTGCAGAGCTGCAAAACTGGATGAACTCAAGCTTTCCAAATGGACATGGAAAAAGGTTTGCAGGTCTGGCATGATTAGGGACAGAACAAGCAATGTGTCTTTTGATGATGCTAATCATATCGTGTGTTTACTGCTGAGTAAAGACAACGCTAATTGACGCTAAAGAATGGACTGCATGCTACGCTATGCTACAGGAATATGTGTTGAGCTGTTGCTAAAGCTTAGACAAGATTTATTCACTAAGGATTTAAACACTGATATATCATTAGTGTTCATGTGTTCCTCAGATGCTCATTACATTTCCATTACCAAGTATGACCAAAAGTCATTTAGTGGAAGCCTGATGTCTATTCGCTGCTAGCTATTTCAAAGAGGTTAAAGAATCATTTAGCTAAAGGTTATTGGTTCTTGATTAAGCAAATCATTCAATAGAACATTATTTGGCCAAATAATGTTTTATTCACCTCATGGATTTGCATTGTGAATTGGTCTGGAAACATTCCAATTTCTTTAAAATTAGTGAAAAGCTAATTTGATCATATCCCAAATTCTTCCAGATAAACTTTGGTTTCAAACACAGAATCCATCTTAAACTGTAATATGTTTTTCAACCGTTTTCCCCTTCCTCTTTGTACATAGTAGTTAGTTTAGTTTAGTTGAGTTTTACTAGTCTTAGTTAAGAGTGTTAAACTGAAATACGTTTGACGTGGAGCTGAATGATTTTTGTTAATAAAATCTTATATTTTGAACAGAAGTTGTGGTGAATTTATTCCATGCGACTGCACGTGATCACTTCGTCAGTGATGACTTCGTCATTTTAAGAAATTCCCACCATGCTTTCAGGGAAGAGCTGATGTTAATATTTTTAAAACATGAGTGCCGCTTGATATTAGAGCTAATAAACGGCAAATCTGAAGTTATGATATTACTGCATATTTCCTTACTGGTTTATAAGAATTTTTGAGAATTCCATGTGATCTATCTATACATGTACACCAAAACCAGGTGGGTCAGAAATAACCAAACCTGGGTTATTTCCAACAGTGTTTTGTTTGTCAACAATAAGGATGACGAAATTATTTTGTCTTTTTTTCATGACGATAACGAGAACTGACGAGCTAAACATGGATCTTTGCGGACAAAAACTTGAGAGTTACGGGTGTGAGTTAAAGTCAACGAGACGAGTCAAGACTAAATACAAATTTGCGGCTAGTCGGTCAGACATTTAAAATGCATCATTGTGCTGTAATCCGCTAAGCAGTATCAGCCGTGCTGCTGTGTCCTGTTTGAACACACAGACCATCTGCCATGCAGCGGTGCCCATTCTGCATGACCACAGATGGATCATGGCAATAGCGGCGGCGTGAAAATAATCCAGAATGCGTGCCGAACTCTGACAAACTGATCTTCCAGCTGTGAAGAACTTTTGACTGCATGGTTCCATGAATTCCATAAAAAAATAAATAAATAAAATATCCTAGAAAAAACGTCTAATGGGAAAAAGATAACCCAGCGTTTGGGTAAATAATATAACCCAGCATTTTTTAGAGTGTTAAGAAATGTCAATCTATGTGAATCTAAAAGGCAGAGTTAGTTCTTGTCTACTGAGTTACGGTAAGCTTAGAGATTAAGATTTTTCTTAGACTGTAGTTTGGAATCCTAAAATCTAATGGTGCAAATAAAAAAGAAAGCAATGATAAATGTTTCATTTTTTGTCAAAGACGAAGCTGACATATTAAGAGCATTATGAATGTTGATTCAACCGGTGGAAATTGACTGACGAACAGCACAGACGGAGTTAATTAAACTTTGGTTCAATGTCCATTTGAGTAGTAAGCCAGGCTGAAATCAAATTAAATCAAAATATTTCCTCATGATTTTCTTTTTTTTCCCTCAGTCTTCAACAACTTAAACTGCTGCCCACCAACATTTGTAGCTTGATGTGCTCCTCTTTCAGTGATTGCCGTGGCTGACTGACTCAGGAAAGGCCTCAGTAGCTTGTGTGTGTGGCAGTAACCATACCGACATGCTGACAATGGCACGTAGCAAATATGCCCAAAGCCTCAAGCTACTGTTTTATGAAACAGTTGCAGTTCTCTTGGCTCTTATAAAACACCTCAAATATAAAACAACTCCAAGTTTTGTGGGAGGCCAAGATCATTGTCAGTATCTGCGTAATTTGCTTTTAGTTTATTTATGAAAATTTAAGCAAAAAATAAACAAAGAAAAAACATACAGGGGATACGACCCCTGTGTCCTCAATGATAGTTACGGCCCTGCGAGGCAGAGCCTATTTATTTTAAGAACAGTTCAATTTCTCAATGAGAGACTACATTGAAAAGCTCAAAATAGCTAAGTTTATGTACAAATGTGTCCCTGATCTTGTCTAAATCTTGGTTGATCAGAAATTCAAAATCTGTGCTCAATGAGCCTGACTGTGATCAACCACCGCAATGTGTCTCTGGTTTGTTTTTCTTTTGTCTGAAAAGTTTAAAGTATGGTGGGGGATGTTGAAGCCGTTTTGTATTTCTTTTGTTTTTCTGAATTTATTATGAACATATTTGCATTCTAATTCTACTGATTTATTTTTTGAATCTTTAGTTGAAAATATGTTTATGTTTTCATTCTGATATGCTTATTTGCTGCTCTTCCTGTATGGTGGGCGTGACATTGACAAGCTGATTGATTGACATAATAGATAGGTGCCATCACTGGGGCAGGTAAAGTGGAAGTGGCAAACAGTTTTTCAACCGTGTGATGCGGGAGCGCTTTTGTTTGGTATGAAAGTTAAAGACAAATAAATGCCTCTATTTTTTACTCTGAAGCGGTGACCCCAAGGTTGCCGCTACAGGGGATTTTTTGAAAAGACAAATGTTTGAAAAGACACGCCTTCTCCACTTAAAAAAAATGCACATGCACAACCCTGTTCTTGCTCTAGAGAGGGAATGCCTATTTAATGCGTGCGAGAGCAGGCATGATGTCATGTTGGCTTTCAGGGATCTAACCCACATGCAGATCACTCAGAGACTGGGAAAAAGTTGACAAGTTTATTGAAGATAAATCACAATAATAACAATGATTACTGGGGATAACTGGGTCCGGGTCTGGTCATGACTGGTTTTCACTGCAGAGAGGGACAGATTGGTTAGCAGTCTTTCAGTGGACTTGCAGGTTGGGTGTTTGCAGGTCTATACCTGATCAGAGATGAGCAGAGCGGTAGAAGGGGGGAACCAGGAGGGTCCAGAGGCTGAAGGCAGACAGAGGGCTAGGCAGAGTTAGGGCAGAGCAGATAATCTTACTGAGCAGGTTCAGAGCTTCTCCCTCAGCTCTTGCTGAGAGCGAGCAGGCAGGTTTCAGACTGAGTAGGATTTCCAGGGTTCTTCTGAGAACAGACAGCTTGGTTTCACGCTTGAGAAACTCTTCCAGGTCTTCAGGTTTCCAGGCAGGTTCTTCCTGAGAAGCAGAGAGGACAAAAGGCAGATTAGGTTCAGGTTCAGGCTTCAGGGGAGTCAGATATTCAGACAGGCAGGTTGGCTCAGGCTTGCTAACCATAACTGGCAAACACTCTGGCGTCGGATTGTAGCTCTGCCCCACCTTAAATGCTGGTCTCCTGATGAGCTCATGAGCCGCAGGTGTGGTGGTCAGCTTCAGCCCCAGGAGACCTAGAACGCCGTCTGCTGGAGAAAGGTGGACAGACCTCCAGATCCCAACACATGAGCCCATTTCTCCTTGTGCACGCTCTGTTTAAAAGTTGCTGTTTGCATCAGTCATACAGGCTTTCTTTCCAAAAGAAGATTTGCAATTTTTCCTCTATGTCAGACTTGTGAAAATGGGGTAATATGGGGTCATTTTTAAAAAGTGAAAAAGGGGTCAAGCATGTAGGACGGCCTACATAAACATATCAGAACGATTGACAATTAGGAGGACCACTTATTTTGATGATCCACCCGGAAAAAGAACATCCTCCACTTTACCTTTAATGTGCTAAAGTTTGGTTGGTTAGCATTGCTAGAATACGAGGTCATCTTAGGACAACGTTTTATGGCCCTTTGTTCTACCTGAGCTTGGCCTTTCCGGTGCTATCTGAGCTGTTTTAATTTCCTGCAGTGCTGCTACATTTTAATGCATTTCTGAGTCATTTTTCACTATTCACTGTAAAACCGAATGAAGTTTCACTGTTTTTATTGCATTTAAGATCTCTGTACAAGTTATCATTGACATTTATCTATTATGATACTTATATTGTGGCGATGCGTCCTCCGCAGAGGAATGAATAAATAAAGATCTAGTATTATATCTATTATTTTAAAGGAAAGCCCTAAATTGCATCAAGCCTTAAAACCTGAGGATTCCTTTGCAACTCTTTGAATGGACTCTCAGATCCCTTTTCTTCTTTTTATTAGCCTTTCATTTACCTCAGTAGTGTGTAGTGTTTGCATAGTTATCAGATTCAATAATACTGCCATAGGGATTATTGGACAATAAAGACAATATTTTAACTGGGGTTGTCTGTATTTACTTATAACAGTGAACGATTTATTACTCAGAGCCAGATCCAGACGCTTTTTGGTTAAGAAGGGAAGAAACAGAGACAATTTTGTGTGGTTGGTGATTACAGTAATAACTGCTGATAACAATATTAGTAGAAAGATAACTGGATTTTAACAGCCGGAACAGGAGTCCAACCAGTCCAAAAGACCGAAGAGCCTTGGTGAGTAAGCAGATTTCAGTTATAATAATTTAATTAATAAACATTTATTAATGACTTAATTTGAATGAACAATTAATTAGCCATAACTTTCAGTTCTAGTTATTTAATATATTCATAATCTGCTGGTTATACTGCTCAACAAATGTCTATCGGAAATGTCTCACTCTGATAAAAAAAAAAAGCCTAACTGTGCAGATATGCATAACATCAGTAACCTACAGCACCACTGACCATCCCTATGAATGTTTCTATAACACCTTTTTCAATTCTTGAGAACCAAAAATATATGAGCATGCCATGCACACTGCAAAATCAATCAGTGAACTGGATTGTTTTAAAGTTAATTTATTACCATTGAATTTTACAAATATGCTTGAAAACAGATTGCAAGCTATGTGTTCCACAATGATTGACTAAATTAGAAGAAAATGTCATCAGAAAGTTCTTACATAGTTCTTTTCCCACATGAAAATCAGTGTGGGCACATCTACAGAACCAGCGCCCGGATGCACACTCATATCTTACATTCATCATTTTATTTTCTCTGCAGCACACGTCATGGATGCCAATCATTCTGCCCTTTTGCCATTACATAACTAACCTAAATTTTCATTCAATGTTTACCTTATTACCAGAGCATATGCTGAACCTTCTCTGATGAGTAATTATTGACTCATAGTCTCTCATTTAAAAAATGTTTCAAGACGCCAGCAAGGTAAATGCGCCAGCAAGGTATTGCTCAATTTTGTTTAACTAGGTCATATAATCTGAAGAGCCAGCGTGAGGCACAAACCATAGGGCCCAGGGCAAGCGTGGGGCCTTTAAGAGCACTTTTTTTTTAATCAATTTTTACACACAATCTGGATTCTAAAACTTTCCAAGTAAACATTTCCAAGGAATTAATTGATTAAAATGTTATGTTTATAAATGTTCAATTATACTGAAATTAATTTTCATATATTATATTATACAATTAATACTGTTGGAGATAATCTTCACAATTTGAAGGAAACAAATTCTAAAAACTTTAAAACTGGCCTGAAATAAATAGAAATAGGGTGCAAGTTAAATAATTTAATTACGTGCAGATTATGAACAATTTGGGTCTATATAGAAAGAAAGAAAGAAAGAAAGAAAGAAAGAAAGAAAGAAAGAAAGAAAGAAAGAAAGAAAGAAAGAAAGAAAGAAAGAAAGAAAGAAAGAAAGAAAGAAAGAAAGAAAGAAAGAAAGAAAGAAAGAAAGAAAGAAAGAAAGAAAGAAAGAAAGACATTAAGTAATGGTAGGAACAAACAAAATGGCAACCTTTAGGTAGAAAATTGGCAAAAGGGCGAATTGACCCGACCTCCTTTGTAACCTTCTATTTCTTCTTTACAAGCATTTGAGGACATAGAAGTTACAGGAAGTCCCCCGTGGACAGCTGCACAGGGTGCCAATGCGAGCACCTTTACGCAAAGCACACGGCTCTCCTGCATCACACTGCAGAGATAAAACAAATCAATTGTCAATAATTTCAACAGAGAATATATTACAAAATGCAAAGAATAATGGGTAAATGCATTAATTGACTGTGGTAAATGACTTTATTCTTTTAATTAATTTTGTGTATTTAAACAACCTTACTAATTTATTATTGTTTTTGTTTAAAAAAGGTATACGGTTTGTCTAAAATGTAGGTAATATGCAAAAATTAAGCATAACAGAAAATACTAAATAAGGAAAATCATGCTTGGCGGTAAAATAAAATGAAATATAACACAGAATAGAATGAACATATTTTGTTTCATTTTTTTACCATTATTTTTTAATAGTTACTGTTTCTATTTTTAATGTATTTGGAGGCCTGTTAAAAGAGATATTGAAAAAACTAAGTAAAATAAATGTTAGGTTAATTAAAATTATTATAAGACAATACTGTGACAACTTATTTTATCCAATTTTGAAATTATCTTTAGTTTTGTATTATTTGTATTCATGTCAGATACATTTATGTTAAATCTATTATGTTGTGGTTGGTGTCCTGTTTGCTTACCGAGGGTAACCAGCCAAGCTTCTTCTCTAAGGGCATTTCTTTGTTTCTGAGTTTTTCTAGAACTTCTTGCAAAGCATTGATCTGAAAGGGAAAATAATTAAACTGATCAAGAAGGATCTTGCATTCTGTATCATGCTGTCATTTGTTCAAATAAAGCTAAATTATTAGGAAAAAATATCCAGGTACTTAAGTTATACACAAAGTGTTATCATAACATTATATAATTTTCACAAAATAAATGCTGTAATAAATGCTTTAGATCCTTTACCAGGTCTTTCTCCTGCTGGGTTTTCAAAGTGAAGTCTAAGGAGCGTGTCTCCAGCGAAGACTCCTCAGCTCGGGCAAGTCGCAGGTAGGCGCAGCTGGTGGCTGTTAGGAGGAGGAAGATTAGAGCGCTGGCCATGGTGCTGAGATAAAAAAAAAAGGAGGAGTCCTTCTCAGCAAAAGGTGGATTAAGTCTGAGTTAGATTTGTGGGGAAGGTCCCACCAACAGTGCCCCTTTATATAGGTGCTTCACTGGGAATGGTGACATCAGCCAGCCTCTAAAATATTAATGCAAACTTTGATTTTAGTGAAACGGATTTGCACAATTGTATCTTCGAGGGAACTCTGCCATAAAGTAAAGCAGATGAAAGTGCATGAATCTATTATCAGATCTTTTTGTTGAACCAAATTGTATGAACTTTTGTATTGTTTTCACTTTTGTGGAATATCAGTAACAACTCCATTTTCTTTTCTTTTTTTTTTTCTTTTTTTTTATCAGTAGAATATTGCCAGGCTAAACGAAGCTCAAGTAAAATAAATGCCTCTTTCAAATTTCAAATATGTCCATAGAGAGTTTCATACCAGCCACCTGAGTTTATGAGTCATGTTGATGCGCCAAAGACTTTGAGCTTTTGTGTATGTGTCACCTCATCCATCACAGCATCACAAAGAACAATTGTTAGACTAATATGCAAAGTGTCAATTCTAATTTAAGTAGCTTAATGGTTTTATCTACCAGAGAGGAATTTTTCATGAGCACAGACCTTTCCTTATCTATAATTTAGCACTGTTCTAGCCTGTCTTCTTGTGTTTTCATTTTTCAATATAGCCTTAGTTAGACCTCAAATTAACCTGCATTGACACCAATCTGAAATCAAGATTTCATTTCCTTCAACATGAATGACCTTCACCCCACCACCCTCATATCCTATTCAAAGGAAATGGACTTTGACAAATATGGAAAGACAGACCTGTGTTTGCTAATGCATTTGTCAAAGATTTAAAGACCCTATAGTGCTGACATCTCATCTATCCATCTATCCATCCATCCATCCATCCATTGGTATCTTTATTTCGAACATGCGAGAGAGAGAAAAAAAATACAATAAAACAATGTTTAAAAACATTGGAGAGAGAAACAACAAACAGTACCTTTCTTTCCTGAGTCAATATACCTCTATTACATGTGCAAAAAAGAGTAGGAAGAAGTGAAATGTATGTTCTCCTACCCCTTTAATTCTTTTATTTCTTCAATTTACAATATTTATAACTATGTTGCTATTTATGTCCATATATATACACACCTACCTACACATATACATACATAAATATTTATACACATATACTCTCATACATATGTGACCATGTTTAAAATAAAGTGTAAAGAGACTTAATTAGTAGTAAAATATTTGTACATTTATTTGCAAAAATATAAAAGCATCATTATTAGTTGTTCTAAAATCTTATATAAAAATATATTATGTGGCAAAACAGTTCATTGATGGGCTCTATTTAAAACAGGACAAGTATACAATTGGCTGAATTGGGGTTGTGCAAATAGCAATAATAAATATACAGTTGGGAAACACCAATAAAATCAATATGACATGGCCAAACAAAACACAAATAAAAACCAAACAAAACATGCAAAGGTGCCCCTAAGTCAATCCAATTTGACACAGTCCAAAAAGTCTATACAGGCCCAAAAAACTAATGTACAGCCTAAACCTTAACCAAGGGAAAAAAGAGTGGATGGCGGCTCAGCAGCATTCAAATCATCACTAAAAAATACAAATATCATCATTATAATACAATCATTTTATTATTAAAATTACTATCTTAACTATTCAAAATTTACGTTTATTAACATCCAACAAAAGAACTCTCCTAGTTCTGAAGGCCAGCAGGTGATAGGACCTTTCATCAAGTAAGGTGGGACACACTTTCCCAGGACTGATGACTGGTACTATTGCTTGGACCTAAGAGGATGTGGTCATTATTGGCTGCACTGCTTTTGTGACAAACATACTACATCTATTTACCTTCTTGTCTGTGCACCAAACCCGGATTTGGCTTAAAAGCTTGAGTGTAATGGCTGCCAGTTGCCCTCTATACTCATGTGGAGTAACTGAGTGAAAGGCCCAGATTTGCCTCCCTCTGGCTTTTAGAGACTAAGCTCCGCCCCCAACTTCCTACTTTTGGTTCACCCTATCACACATATATACAAATAAACAAAACAATATTTTTTAGTTTGCTTCACAATTTAACTCTACAAAATGATCTATCTATCTATCTATCTATCTATCTATCTATCTATCTATCTATCTATCTATCTATCTATCTATCTATCTATCTATCTATCTATCTATCTATCTATCTATCTATCTATCTATCTTTAATTGCTTAAGCTATGATGCATGATGCGAATCTCCCGTCCCACCACATCCCAAAGATGCTCTATTGGATTGAGATCCGGTGACTGTGGAGGCCATTTGAGTACAGTGAACTCATTGTCATGTTCAAGCAACCTGTCTGAGAGAATTCCAGCTTTATGACATGGCGCATTATCCTGCTGAAAGTAGCCATTGTGGGCATAAAGGGATGGACATGGTCAGCAACAACACTCAGGTAGGCTGTGGCGTTGCAACGATGCTCAATTGGTACCAAGGGGCCCAAAGAGTGCCAAGAAAATATTCTCCACACCATGACACCACCACCACCAGCCTAAACCGTTGATACAAGGCAGGATGGATCCATGCTTTCATGTTGTAGACGCCAAATCCTGACCCTACCATCCGAATGTCGCAGCAGAAATCGAGACTCATCAGACCAGGCAACGTTTTTCCAATCTTCTATTGTCCAATTTCAATGAGCTTGTGCAAATTGTAGCCTCAGTTTCCTGTTCTTAGCTGAAAGGAGTGGCACCCGGTGTGGTCTTCTGCTGCTGTAGCCCATCTGCCTCAAAGTTCGACGTACTGTGCGTTCAGAGATGCTCTTCTGCCCACCTCGGTTGTAAAGGGTGGTTATTTGAGTCACTGTTGCCCTTCTATCAGCTCGAACCAGTCTGGCCATTCTCCTCTGACCTCTGGCATCAACAAGGCATTTCCGCCCACAGAACTGCAGCTCACTGGATGTTTTTTCTTTTTCGGACCATTCTCTGTAAAGAGATGGTTGTGCGTGAAAATCCCAGTAGATCAGCGGTTTCTGAAATACTCAGACCAGCCCTTCTGGCACCAACAATCATGCCACGTTCAAAGTCTGTGCCTGTAAAAAGGGCTTTAGAGGGAACAGTAGCAATTACAATTCCTTTTGGGAAAGGGGAAGGTAAATCACTTTTTGCAGATTAAAGTAATGGAAAAATGGCAAAAAGGATGGACAAAGATAAGAAAGGAAGATGATTATATAAGGTACAAAAATCAGTATAAAAATATAATCATTAATGAGAGAAACAGAAGGGAAGATGTAATAATAATCAGATTAAGATTGGGTCATACCTATTTAAATTACGTTTTATATTTAATAGGGAGGGGAAATAATGATAAATGTGAAAGTTGTGGAGAAAAAGAAAATGTAGAACATGTACTGATGAACTGTAAAAATTATGAACATGAAAGGGAGAAATTGAGAAAGATGGTTGAAAGGACAAACAAAGAATGGAGCCTTAAAGGAATATTAAGAAATTAAGGAAATATAAAGGATATTCACAGATTAAGGAAAGCATTATTTATTTATCAACAGAATACAAAATTTAAAAAAAATAGAATTTGATGTAAAGTAACGTTGCTGCACACTCATGTACAGTAGGTGGCGGTAGGCACCTTAAAGTTGCTTGCGATCCGTCATAATAGCAAAGAAGAAGAGGTTACCTGTAGTTAGTCACTTTCATCACATGGGGGCAGCACCGTATTTTCAAAGCCGGAAGCAAGGTCACGACCGAACCGGACGTTTACAGTTTAGCATTCCTACAGCGTTGTAAACTAATCCTTGTCGATATTTGGGTCTTTTTCTATTGTTGCCTTACAGTCGAATTCAACAATGTCCGAAAGAAAAGTCCTAAATGTAAGTAATCAAAAGAGAAAATATTGGTTTAACGTCAGGGGTTTCAGCTATAGCGTGAACAACTACAAGGGCTAATGTTAGCACTGCGGCGTAGAAGTGTTGTGTTTGAGCATTTCTGTTATTATTGCTTTTTTCATTGAAATGTTTTATTACGCACAATAAAAGGTTTTACTCCGCGGAAATAAAAGTTATTGCACATTTCATCTATTTCAGACAATAGTGGGCTAACTCTGCTGTATGATTTGCTCCTCACAGAAATACTACCCCCCAGATTTCGATCCTGCCAAAATCCCAAAGCTTAAACTCCCTAAAGATCGACAGTATGTGGTCAGATTGATGGCTCCGTTCAATATGAGGTATGTCTGAATTATCTCCATGTAAACATTTTCAATAAAATTTACTTCGATCTGGGTTTTTTTTTCTAATTTACTCATTCGTTTTTATGGGGAACATATTTAGTTAATTTCAAACAGAGCTTAGACATTTAGCCTATTTTCTTTGTTTAGCCTTGCCCTACAATACACTATACTGCCAGACTAATTGATATCTTTTTTATATATGCACATCAGTCTAGATGAGATTGTATTGAATGCAATTTCTTGATGGACCTATTTTTTTTTTTTTTTCAACAATGGATTTCCACAAGTTTTCAAAGGTGCTTCATGTTCACATGTGTTGCTGCTTGTAAGATAGCAAAAAAAAAAAAAAAATGAGGAATTTATTCACTCATTTGCCACGAAGAAAGGTTCAAGGCTTTCCCAAAATCATCAATTTCCAGGGTCATCTACTAAAAATTCAATTCAACAAAGGGATCTGATTCAGACCTGAGGTGTGAAGAAGAGCTGCATCAAGGGAGCCAGTTCATAGATTTAAGTTTTTAATTGTTGCTATTGTTTTTCTTATATAAATATATATATATATATATATATATATATATATATATATATATATATATATATATATATATATATATATATATATTTTTTTTTTTTTTTTACTATATATCCATCTGTGCTGTTGGGTAATTTACTTTTTTAATAAGATGTTTTATTCTCAATAAGATACTGCCTGATTGAATAATGATTAAAATGCTAACATTAAATTACTCTTTGAATAAAAACCCTTTCTTGTCTCTTGTATCTCTTCTTACATACAGGTGTAAAACATGTGGTGAGTACATCTACAAGGGAAAGAAATTTAATGCGCGTAAAGAGACTGTTCAGAATGAACATTACATGGGACTGCCGATCTTTCGATTCTACATTAAATGCACTCGGTGTCTTGCTGAGATCACATTTAAGGTAAGGGGTATCACATTGTCATATCAATGTGGAAAAGTACTGTTTTCTTCCAAAGTCTTCTTTTGTGAATTTAACAATCACTCGATGTGAAATCGTAGACTGACCCAGAGAACACAGACTATGCCATGGAGCATGGTGCCACACGGAACTTCCAGGCTGAGAAACTCTTGGAGGAAGAGGAGAAAAGAATACAGCAGGAGAGAGAAGATGAAGAATTAAACAACCCTATGAAGGTCTTTCTTTCATTGCTTTTTTTAATACTTTGAAGTCCTAGAATAAATAATTAAGATTTAAGTCTGATTCTTCACCAGGTATTAGAGAATCGTACAAAAGATTCAAAGATGGAGATGGAAGTTCTGGAGAACCTCCAGGAACTGAAGGAGCTGAACCAAAGGCAGGCTCTGGTGGACTTCGAGGGAATGATCGATCGCTACCGAGAGCTGGAAAAGCGAGAGAGGGAAAGAGAAAAAGAAGAGGATGAACGTGAGACAAAGTGAGTGAGGAAGCACCAGATAATACTGAAACACTGCTTCTAGTCCAGACATTAAGCTTATCTGGAAAGTCTTTGCTGTTAAACATCACATTCATTTTTATTTTTCAGAGAGATGTTGGAACGTGCTCTTGTGAAAAGACTGAGGGACTCTGACTCTGAATCAGACGGAGAAGAGGAGAGCAGCAAGGGCCACTTAAAGCAGACTTGTGCAGATAAACCAACAGATATCCTCACCGCTGATAAAGCAGCAAATCTGCAGGTTTGTGGAACCATTGCTGCGAAAACTAATATTAATAAATCAATAATTACTACTAGGGCTGCAACTAACGATTATTTTAAAAATCGATGAATCGGCCAATTATTTTTTCGATTAATCGATGAATCGGACAAAAATTTTTTTTTATATTAACCTCTTTATTCCAAAATAAACATTTTAGACAGAACAAACAAGCACACAAGTACAGGTTGCTCATTAACTGTACTGGTGCAATATGAAAAATAAATGTTTGTGTTAAAACTACTCAAACTTACATGAGAAATGTAGCTGTACATCCACAAAATATAGGCTACTTTGTTTCATAAAGCGCAAAAAGACAGTCATTTTTGTTTTTAAAAGCCCCTAAGGGGTTCAAACAATAGGTCCCCCCATTTCATCTAATGAGGTTTTTTAGACTAGAAGAGTTCTGCCTTTTAGGACAGGAAAGTATAGCAGTTAAAGGAATAGTACACCCAAAACATGATTAGCCTTCATTTTCTACTCACCCCCATGCTGAACAACACTCTGGTGTACTTTTTTGATATCTCAAATGCATCTGGAGATCTGGGAGGCTTCTTGCTGTCTGTGGGTGTACTATTCCTTTAAAGTTGCTACTTGAGAAAATACTTAACCATAGAGATAAAAATAGCCCTGTGATTCAAATTATAAATTGTATTTGGAATAAAAATGAGAGAACTAGGGGTGCTAAAAAACACATCCTCCAAAGACAGATATTTACATGGAAATGCGGCATATAATTAATTGACATATTACTGATCTTGCTGGATTTTATTCTGCTTTACTTCCATAAATTGCAGGATCTTCTTTACTTTATCTTTGCCAGAAGATTTAAACTTTAAAAGCCTTGCCCTTATAATTTGCAAGTTAATTTTTTTATAAAGTAAATATAAACGCTGCTTAAGATAATTCAAATGAAATTAAAAGTAAAATAAGTAGCCAACCTTATCACTGTCTCTAACCTACTAACAAGGTAAGGAAAGCATCAGATGAGCTACCTGAAAAACTAACGTTACGTTTCCCCACTTTAAAACAAAACAAACATGGTGTTTCCGTGCCATGTTAATTTGTTTTGACAAAAGTTGCATGTTACGACTTTTTTCACTTTACAAAGCGCAGGCTATTTTAATTATTGTGATCAATTTGCGCCGTCAATCTCGGCGCATGCGCGCTTCATTTGCAGTCTGGACGCTGAGGGTAAACATCCTGCTGCTCTGACTGCAGCGCTGAGAGGGACTCCTGCGGGAGAACAGGGTTGGGATGGGGGAGGCGCCCCACGGCAGAGTAGGAACGATACATGCTTTCACGTAAGAGTCTCCAAAAGCCGGCAGTGACACCGTAAGAAGTCACCAGATTTGTCGCTTTTTTTAAAAATAGTCGCTGGAGGGGTCTAAAAAGTCGCTGAGTTGGCAATACTGTACCTGCAGAGCTGACTCGCTCTGCTGTATTTTTTTTCTTCCCCCGTTTCAGTCAAGTGGCAGTGATGACGGCGGCGGCGGATGACGCATTAATCGCGCGACACAACTAATCGATGATGAAATTCGTTGCCAGTGCTTTTAAAAGTCGATGTTATCAAAAGAATTTTTTAATGAAAATAGAAGAGGACCTAGAAAGATAGAAATCGCTTCCGATCTCCCTTTTGGGTCGGGTAGCCTCAATTAAAATGATGGTCTTACCCAGAATTAACTACCTATTTTCAATGATCCCAAATAAACCATCAACCGAATGGTTTAAATCTCTAGATTCTTCCATCTCTAAATTTCTTTGGAAGGACAAACCCCCTCGTATCAGCTTAAAAACACTACAGAAAACTAAAGACAGAGGGGGACTAGATTTACCTAACTTCCAATACTACTATTTAGCAAATAGATTACAATACATCTCTAAATGGATAAAACATAATCCCTTAGATGAGCCCTGGATAGACACAGAACAGGATATATGCAGTAATATAATAATCTCAGATTTGCCGTTTATTAGCTCTAAGATCAAACGGCACCCATGTTTCAAAAATATTAACATCAGCTCTTCCCTGACAGCATGGTGGGAATTTCTAAAAATAACGAACTCATCACTTATCCCGTGCAGTCGTACACCCATCTGGAATAACCCTGACATTCTACAAAACAATAATGTGATAAACTTTCCGTACTGGAAGAATAAAGGTATTACATATCTGGATCATTTGTTTGAAGGTACGGAGTTTATCACATTCGCTAGATTAAATTTGCAATATGGCATTAACAAAAATAAATTCTTAGAATATGAGCAAATCAAAGCTATAATTAGAAATAAATTTAAGCATATTGATGGAGGTTTAATAATTCCAACTAAAATATCAGAGTTTCTAGAGTTAACCCCCCCCAAACTACTGTCTAAGTTATACAGGACACTGACTAAACTGGATGATACAATATCTCTTCCTATTACTAAATGGGAGGAGGATTTATCAGTCAGCTTTGAACAAAACATCTGGGCTCAGATATGTCTAAGAACTTTTAACATGACCAGAAACCCCAATTTACAATTAATACAATACAAAATCCTCCACAGAGTGCACTATACAGGTCAAAGATTATTCAAGATGGGTTTTGCGCAATCTAACATCTGTCCACAGTGCACAGGCAATCGACTTGATAATTATTTTCACGCGCTATGGTTATGCACGCCGGTTCAGAGATTCTGGGTACAGGTATGTAAGGATCTATCACTGTGCCTGGGTTGTAAAATCCTAATTTCCCCTTCAGTTTGCTTGCTGGGTGACTTTGAGGGAAGCTCTATGGGAAAAATTTTTTTCTATGGTTAAAACTTTACATGCACAAGTTCACCCTCACAAACAACTACAGGTGCTAGGCTTCAGGTACTTAGAGATTCACTTCCAAACAGAAACCCCACATTCATATCTTCAGGTAACACAGAGTACATGTCAGACTTAATAATATTACTTTAGTGATAGTTTCAAGGTGTTTGCTTTATTGTATATCTCGTACCATGTTTTTTGGTTGTGCTGTTCTTTTTTCTTTTTTTTTTTTTTTTTTTCTCCATCTCATTACAGGTGTTGAAGCAGACTGAAAATGTTTTGTCATTGTCTCCTTCCTATCTCCTCTTTCTTTCATCTTTTGTCCTGTTTTTTTCTTTTTCCTTCTTCTTCTTCTGTTTTTCTGCTCTACTTACATTGCAGTGTCCATATGAACTGTAAAACTCCCTGCATAATTATAATAAAGCAATTTATATACATGAAACAAGTGGAGCGGTATGGCAATTGCGATACCGCTACACTTGTGAAAGTAAAATCTGTTGGGCTCCTTTTGGCATCAAGACAATTATTCTTATTGCCACCTTGCCAGACAGGACACTGTAAAAAAAAAAAAAAAGTCGATGTTATCGATTCGTTGTTGCAGCCCCTATCACTACACATATTTCTTTATGTTTATTAACTGTTTCTTTTTTGAGCAGTTGTCGTAGGTATAGTGGCTAAATGTCCGTGCTTAAATGTTTCTTCTCATGAATGCAAATAACCACTCAGTCAGACGGAAAGAACGAGTCTACGCGTGTTGATATTTGAACGACGGTAGAAAACAGTGTGTTCGCCCCGTCTTTATTTCCAGTCAGAACAAAGCACACAAGTTTTTTTTTTTTCTCCAGAGACGCACAGCTCTGCAACGTCATCGCACAACGTCAAATCCTATCAGCTATTATTCAAGATAATTCTAAGCATTAACAAATGCAAATTGAAACCAAAGGAAATTATGAAAATAGTAAAGCAGTAACTTATTTATAATGCAATCAGAAATATTCTATAATATGCAAATACTGAACATATTCAAAAATAATAACTAAATATGAATGTAAATTACTAGATAGAAAATGGCACCAACATTTCCGGCCCCTAATTGCTCATCATGGGGATGACAATTACACTAAACAAATAAACTGAAAAGTCATTTTCTATACTCAAATCCCCATTACTTAAATGTACTGAAGTCTAAACATAAACTAACTTAAATTCCAGTAGTTAACAGACAATTAACTGGATGAAATGTCTTTCACTGTCCATGAGATTCTTCCGTCTCTAACAAGAGACACAACTTGTCAATGGGCCTCTCAAGGGTGTTGGTCTTCGTTTTCACGAGGACCCGACGAACAAATCCTTGGGCGTCGGGAATGGTCTTCTCCACCTTTCCCATCAACCAGGACCCTCTTGGAGCCCTTTCATCCACAATGAGTACGACGTCCCCCTCTTTCACGTTCCTCTTCTTCTCCAGCCACTTCTGCCGTTCTTGTAGGAGGGGCAAGTATTCTCTAGACCAACGCTTCCAGAAGATGTCTGAGATATACTGCACCTGCCTCCATCTTCGTTTGCAGTACAGGTCTTCTTTGTGAAACGTGCCAGGAGGGAGTGCTGGCCTTCCCTTGAGCAAAAGAAGATGATTCGGTGTCAGTGGCTCGAGGTCATCGACATCATCAGATGACTTGGTAAGGGGTCTGCTGTTGATCACTGCTTCCACTTCGCACATCACGGTGTGCAGACATTCATCGTCTAGACACTGGAGCTTCAGGACACTGCTGAGTACCTTGCGCACTGTTCTTATTTGGCGCTCCCAGATTCCGCCGTGGTGCGACCCAGCAGGCGGGTTGAAAATCCAGGTAACTCCTCTTTGCAGCAGAGCTTCGGAAATCTGGGACTGGTTCCATTCCTTCAAAGCCTTGCGGAGCTCGTGCTCTGCAGCCACAAGGTTCGTACCATTATCTGGTCTCATAATCTTCACTTGTCCTCGTCTAGCAATGAAACGTCTCACTGCATTTATACCTGAGTCTGTGTCCATTGAGTGTGCGATTTCGATGTGTACAGCTCGGATTGTAAGGCAAGTGAACAAGACTCCGTAGCGCTTGACTCGTGCTCGTCCACGCCTGGCATCAAAGGGGCCGAAATAGTCTACGCCAACGTTGGTGAATGGTGGGTGATCTGGCTGAAGACTATCTGG